TTACTGCTTCTTCCACCCTGTGTTCCATAATTCCAAAAAGAAGAGGAAATTATAAGCATTATGGAAATGAGAAGAATTGCCTACTGCTAAGACCTTACACCTTTTCTTTTTTTTTTTTTTTGTTTTAAACAGAGGGGAAGGAGAAGGGAACATGTTCCACACTTTTTTTCCTCTTCCTTTCCAAAGAAGTAGTGAATAGGTCAGATTGCTGACCTCACAGTTAACAAAAAAACAGATCAAGGTATCAAGGTTTTGACCGGTTTGCTGATGGTAAACTGAGAGAAAAGGACAGTGAGTGTTTACTTGTTCTAGCATCAAATAGAGGGAGAAAACCACCTAGTACTTAGATGCAAATGATTTTGGCAAGGAAACCTATTGTGGCTTTTATGCATATCAGACACCTAAAACTATTCTATTTGTATTTCTAAAAGGAGATATGTAGAGTTTAAGTCTGAAGTCAAAGCTAAGTGAAGAGCAGAAGGCAGGGCCAACAAAATAAATGGGCTTGGTATAATTAACCAATAGTGAATGGTATGAAGAACGACAGCTGGCTTTGGCAAGCACATGGATCTATCCACGTGAGGAGAAATCAAATGCTGTTAAAAATTTTAGAAAAACAGAGCCAGTTGCAAGGAAGCATAAAAAAACAGAACAAAAAAGCGCACAAATGCAATGCAACTAGAGGTGTTTACATCACTGATGCAGCAATTCATTTTGTGATTTGCAGTCTTACTTCCCCTTCTGTAGAGTCTACAGGATTGCTCCACTTTGTCCAAAACATTGACAAGATGACATCTCTCTGTAGCTTATGTTAACAGATTTAAAAAAAAACAAAAAACAAACACTTTCAGGATTAAGGCTGGTCACATCTCTGACACTGATAATGAAACAGGGAACATGTCACCTTGCCCAATCAAATGCTGTATTTGAAGCCAAGATCCTTTGCTTGTGACACTCTTACACCTTGCCCAGCCCATCCAGCCTGGGCTGGGCAGGATCCCGAGGCAGGGGAGGTGCTGCACAGCGTGCTCAGGAAGGCTCAAGGATGTTGGATCTCTTGGCAAACTGGCAGCTCAAACAGGGGGGCTCAGGTGCTTCAGGCAGCAGCTGGGAGAACTGGATCATGGTTTTAAACTAAGCCACTACTGAATGCTATCAAAGTCCTGCTCTTGGTACTGAAGTCCTTTATTTTGGTCTTGTTTTAGACTGAGGAGATGTCTCACCTGCTGGACCTGCTTTCTGATGGCACAAGTCCAGGTTAGCATCAACCTGACTGGTAGAAAGTTCAGTTATGCTGAAATGAATCTTGCTAATACTGAAACCCTGACACACAGCAAAGTCAAAAGTTGCTGTGTGTGTTTTTTCTCAGCTGTCACCAAGTGATAAAATAGCCTTAATTTCTGAAATCCTATCCTTTAGTTTCGCAGCATTTCTTGTTTTCCCTAGCAAAATAAGAAAGTCATATATGCTGACTGCCTTCTTGAGATAAAAAAAAAAAAAGAAAAAATAATAAATCCAGTCTAAATAATTCTACATATTTGGCTAATTTGCTCTCTCTGACTTAATTCCCAATTGTGTTCCTCAGTTCCTGCACTATGGCAACTTTCAGTTCTAAATGTGTTTATTTTTTATATTTTCTTGCTCCTAGGAGCTGGATTTCCCTTATTCTCTTTGTTTTTTAATTATGTTTATTAGCTTTCAAGGGCACATTTATTTTATTAACTGAAATGTTATTTTATTTTTACTCAGTTCTCCAGTTAATTTATTAGCAAAAATATTGCTGACTAAAGATCTCAAAGATGTACGTTTGCTGCTAACCAGAAAGACAAGCTACAGTAAAAACTCATCCACTGTAAAATATTAAATTATTAAAATATTAAAATATTAAACAAAGACCTTTTGCCTTCCTTTCCCTGGTGCAGAAGAGGTTTTCTCCAGCTTCATGCAAAGCCCTCCTGCTCTCAGCTCTCTCTGATGCTTCCAGATGCAAGGCTGTCACTAGTCCTTCCACATTCCAGCTTCTTCCCTGACCTGTCCTACGGGGTTCTGTCCTCCTCTGACTTCTCTGTGGAGCATCCAGCCTCGAGCTCCCACTGCCCATCAGAACAGGCAGCCTGTTCCATGTACACATGCTTCAAGCACGGGTGGCAACAATTAGCAAGTTACTACAGTAGCATTTAATGTAAACAGCAAATGAGGCACAGTAGCAAGCACCATCACAGACAAAAAGACCAAAAACACCATAAAAAAGCTGCCAGCTTGGACCATGCTGACAGCCAGCTCTTCCCTTCAGCAGAGAATCACAGCTACATTATGCTCCAAACTGCGACTGAGGCTCTGCTCACTCTTCTCCTCAACATTTGTGATCATTCCCAGCTGGCTGCCCCCATTTTTACCTGGCAAACCACAGAGCAGTTCCACCAGGGAAAACACTGGCTACCAATACAGGCTGCAGGAGGAGGAACAATGCTGGCAGTTTAGTTTTTAAAGAGCTCCTCAGCTTCTAGCGCCCATCCCAGCCCTTTACAGTAGCGATGAGGTTTGGAAGAGACTGAAGAAGCAGGGAGACCTGGAGGCTGCAGCCCGGTTCCTCCCACCCCCCTTTTTGCTCATCCTTCAGCTCTGGTGTGGCCTTTGGGATTCCTCAGGGGAAAAGCACCAATGGACAAATTATCAGTGGAGAGGCACAGCATTCATGAAGGGCATAGGGGAGGGAGGAGCAGAGAAGAGGATCAGTGACAGGGATTCAAGGAACAAAGCCTCTTGACCCACATACCTCCTTCACTGGGTGAAGGGCTACAGAAGAGCTCGCAGAGCCTAGGATTTTGTGGGAAAACTCAGAGACAGAAAAACATGGATTTTGATCTGGCAGTCTGAGTAGGACAGACTATAAGTGAGCTCTTCAGAGTCATCCATCTTGATCCAACGAAAGGCAACTTTAAAATAGAGGCAGGACAAATCTTACTTGAAGTGTTAAAGTCCTGCACAGATGTGTTTAATAAGGGATAGAATCACAGTCATAAAAGAGCACACTGCAAACCATTTCTCTGGTAAAGAGAAGATATAAACACCAGAGACTAACTTTCATGTACAATAGACAGACAGGAAACAAGGTTATGAGATACATCAGGTCTAATCAATTTTTATATGCAATTCCCCTAAACTCAAAAACATTACTGCCAAAATCTCCCTGGACACTCATGACCAAATCCTCAGAGTTTTTGCTCCTGTAGAATAGCAGCTGCATGACTGGCAAGACTTTGCTAAGAACCATCATGCTGAGAAACCTGATAACTGTTTAGTTCATCAACTTCTTTAAAATAAATATTCATTATAGACTGATATATAAAATATATTAGCTAAGACAGTTGGGTAACTAGTTTTGTACAGCATATAACAAGGAGAGCACAAAAGTTTGGCTCTGTAACTTTTCTCTTCCTTCTCTTCTACCTGCAAGCCCTCCCATTCCCTCTGTAACCAACACGCACACAAGGTGATTACAAGAAGAGATGAGGTTTATTTCTTTTTTCATCTGGCATAAGAAAATGCAAGAGATGAAAAATACCAAAGCCTCTTGACTGACCTAAACAAGTGCCACTGTCAAAGGAATGCTGGCTTACACAGAAAGAAAGCTTTCTGTTCACAGCAGAATGCCACAGTGGGAGCAGTGCTGATAATTAGTGATTTTTGATGCCTGCTACATTGCATGAAAATTAACTGTCTGTAATGTTTCTCTATGGCATGATTTAGACAAACAGCTGATGAAACCTTCCTCACCTGTACCCAAAACACAGCTTTGTTCAGGATTTTATTATCACTGAAATGTTTTTCCAACTCAGAATCTCAGTTACATTGCAGGATAGAATAGATGCTCGAGGCGACAGCAGGTCCATTCAAAGAAGCACATGATTGGACATTTTTTACAGTCAGAAGAGAAATCTGAATAGAGACATCTCCCAGCTAGTCCTAACTCTATTAAAAAGTTCCAATGTATAAAATATAATGCTCGGAAAGTTCTCTCTGAATCTCCCCTATGATGCTGAGAAAATAAAATCAATTCATATTGCTCTGAAATTCTATTTTTGCCACTGCTGACGTCCCAAACGTTATCAATAAGAAGACTATAAAATCCTCACCCTGGTCTTCATTTCCAGCAGAGAGGCTCACAGCCCAGTCAAGTAACACAGCAATAATCTCTCTTCCACTGAGAATACTTTTATTCACAAGGCAAAAATTGGAGTTAGACTTTTAGGTAGTGGGCAAGGCACTCGCAAAGTGAGCAATCTATTTTTGCTCATAGAACTAATTTAATGTTTAAGTGCAACAAAAACACTAAATTAGCCATGAAGATCATGCATATCCAACGGCTTTCACCAGACATGACTGTGACCCAGGCCTCTGAATACAGAAATATTTCAGTCATAAGGAATCAACTCTATTATTTTCTGCTTCATCAGATATGATGTTTCCTTTTGACCAGCCATAGAAATATAATTTCTATTATAATAATTAAACATTTATTAAAATACTATATATTTAAGAGTTAATATATGGTCTCTCTCAGTAATAAAATATGGAATACTCTTTTATCTATGCTATTTAGATCTCAAAACTTAAAGGAAAAACATTCATGCTGAAAATAGATCAATGTACAGCACTAGGTCAGAAATAGCATCTCTTGATTAAAACCCCAAGAACTTGCTGTGGAACTGTACATTGATTAACAATTCACTTTTTCCTTTCATCCACATATTTTGTTTTCAACATCTGGCAGTGAGTGGAATACAAACCCAGATTATCTGACACTGAAGCAAAACTAGCAGCCTCAGTGTGTCCATCCTTCTGGCAGACTCCAGGTCCTGTCTGTCAGAGACAGATTGCTCTGTGTCTTGGGTCATTTCTTACGCATGCAGGGCACAGCAGAATGTCACATTGCAATCCTGGGTGTTTCATGCCTGGTACTTCATGCAGTTTCCTCTTTGCAAGTCTCCATGTCTCTCTCAATGAGGCATATGCACACACTTCCAAACAAATAAGCTGTGTTTTCAAAAAGATATTAAATATGAGATATAGAAGACTACAGTGTTGTTAAAGAAATGCCTAACACAGCCAAAAGAAATTCCCATTAAAAGCGTGCTGTTCTGAATATTCATGTGCACATTGTAACTTATTAAATATTAGCTGTTCACATTAACATTAGGGATATTTATTTTGTCACAAATATGTTTTTCTCTGTGTACAAACAGGAAAGCAAGCCCATGGGCAAAAGGCTGAAGGCTGAACTTGAGCTTTGCATTGCTGTGGACTGTCCATGTGCAGTGCTGTGCAGATTGTGGCACTAATGGCAGGAACACCTACCTGCAGTCGTCCCCTCCAGCGCTGACCACGTATCTGTCTCCACTTGTGAATCGAATATTAGTTAAGTGGGCGGAGTGACCTAAAAACCGTTTGTGTTTTGCCTGGAAAAAAACCCAAACAACAACAGAATGAGAGAGTCTAAATATTCTGTATCCTCCTAAATCAAAAAAGGCCTGCATGTTTTTATCTCCCTTTTTATTGCATTACATATTTACAACATTCAAAAGTTATATAAGTTATCAAAGATCTCCTGAAGGAGAACTACTATCGAGCTGCAATGCAGATTAAATTGTCAGCCAAAAAGAGAGCACTTGCAAATTGGAAAGAATGCTCAAGGTAACTCAATAATATTAAATACATCTTGCCACACAACTAATGTCCAAGTTTTGTGTAAAATTCCTGACACTGAAATTATTTTCATTGCAATTATTTTCATCACAATTATTTTCATTGCAATTGTGTGAGCAGTTTATCCTGTGCAGTCTCAAATCCTGAAAATTATCAGAGAAAACAAATTGAAAAAACATTATAAATTAAAATCATGAAAACCAGTGAAACAATTTAACAGTGTTAGTGAAAAATCTGTAAACTCTTTATCCACGAAGATCCACAGATGGGACTAAAATCACCAGCTATCTTCCTCATCTGTCAAATGTATCAGAGATGTGGAAATTACTAAGGGCTTTGAGATTTTTCATTAGGCAGGCACTATGCTAAAGCAGACTGGCAGATAATATCAACACCTTCAAGAGGGTATAGCAAGAGCTCCTGCACAATATGGTAGGGAAACTCTGATGTGGAGCATGTGATGAGACTATGGAGCTAAGGAGGTACTAAAAAGCTACAAATTTAGAGAAGAAAATATTTCTATCACATGTCTTCCAGAGAAACAAGGCAAGATCCTAATATCAACAGTACATGTTGTTGTAACCATGCAAAAACAAGTTCTTACAAATTTTTCAGGACATGGAAAGTCAAACAGTTTGACCATGCCAAAATCATCGCCGGTTACGAGATTGATTCCCGAGTGAGAGACACAAGCACAGTTCACATCAGCTTTTTCAGCATGCCTGGACCAGATCCCAATCACTTCATCCCCTAGAACACTGAAACAGAAGACCAAGAAATTCTTTTGAAAACCACTGCAAAAACAAGAGTCAGGTAATAGAAATCAGATCTCATAGTCTAACTGGTTCTATAAAAATGCAATGTTTACGCTTTTTTTTCACACATGCATACCTTATGTAGCTTTTATTCTGTAATTAATTTTTGAATAATTCCATAATTGCACCTGAAACTGATTCAGTGATATAATTCCCAAAAATAATTTGGCCCACAGCAATGTGAGAGAACCAGAGGTGAAATCAATAGAACTACTGTTGTCCAGTAAGGCATTTGTAAAAAAAAAAAAAAAAAAAAAAAAAAAAAAAAAAGAAGAAAGGAAAATTAGAAATAGAACATTATAGCATAAGCCTCAGATGAATAAGCTTCAGCTTTTGGAAAATTAAAAATTTTATATTCCCTCTTGCACATAACTATGTTCTGTTGATTCTGTAGTGTTTTCGTATCAATCAAAGAAAAGATTTTCTGAGTCCAATGAAGATTCTTCATTATAATCAGAGAGAGAAAAATTGCCCTGCCCTGAAAACATAATTAAGAGTCCAGAAAACTTCCTTTGCAAAGTCTTGTAAAAGGGCTTTTACTCAGCTCTGCTTACAAGGTATATGCATACTTCCAGGAATGCACAGAAACAATAAATTTATCATTTTTTAATAAGTGAATTATTTGTGAATTTTTCAGTGATTCTTTCCCCCCAGTTCAGGACACAGTACACTACACGCAAAAAGGCATGATTTACATCAGACATACTGAACTGGATCAGGAAATACCAGTTTCTTGGGTTTGTCTCAAAAAGGTGACAAAAACTGGTAACCCAAAAAAACCTCAGAAACTGACACAGGGTTCAAAGAGCCCCTGTGCACTGAGGGGATCTGCTCTGTACTGCCTTTTGCAGTGCTGCATTTGGGGGAACTGCTGCCAGAGCAGATGGGTGCATTAAAAGAAAATATCTGACTGAAGGGATTAAATGCTTTTAAATAGTAGGTGCATCTCCTGGAAGTTCCAGGTGTTCTAACAGGTGTAAATACATGAATCATTTACCTTGTCCAAGTAGCCCATGTTATTCTGTCAATCACAGCCTGGTCCACAAGCTGCTTTCCTGAAGGCACTTCATACACTTGCCTTTTGTAAGACCCCGTAGAGACCTTTGAGGTGACCACAGAGAATTTACAATACATTAACTTGTTTCAAAAGATGAAAATATAATTTCAGAGGCCTTTGAAAAACATTTTTGTGAGTTACTTTTTACTCCACAGAGTAACAGCTATCAAGAAAACTTAGTCAATGAGTTGAAAATTCTCAAAAAAATCTATAAAAGCATAAAGCAATAGTGAGAAAGCATAAGAAATCTTGACATTTACATGTCTAATTAGTAAAAAATAACTGAAACAACTCACTTTCTGCACGTATGTGTTAGTGTGTGAGTATATACAAATAAGGCAAAATAAATTCCTATCTTTAAAGCTGACACACAGGTGTTCCTCTTGGGCTGTAAATATTGATTTGATAATGAGAGAAGCTTATTTGTACTTTCAGATGCAAATAAAATATAGAAAGCATACTACATTTACTTCTTTTTTATTTTAAGAAACGTCTTAAGCCCTCCTATAGTTGATGATTTTGGTGCTGCTACACAAAGTCTAGCACCAAAAAGACATGTAATGCCATCATGATGGTCAGAGAGACTAAGAATTTATAGATCCCCAGGTCCTGCAGAATGACAGACTGTACTCCTTTTTTCTTTTAAGATAGCCCATCAGCTTTAGAGGTAAAAAGGCAGGGAGACACATCACAGGAGGTTTGAAAACTGTCTCTCATTTCTCTGCTTATTTTCTGTATTTCATCTCCAGGAAAACTATTCAAAACTAAAGGCATCCACTTACCACTACAACAAGGTAAGTCTAATGTCAGCAACATACTGCAACACTTAGCTTAGAACTCCAACACAAAACTTAGAAGGAGAATACTTGCAGAGTATTTGCCACAAGTATGTTTTCCATTCAGTACCTTGAACAATTAATGACTGATACCTGGAGATAAGAGCTATCAGCAGAGAAGTCCATCTGGATCACAAAACTTGGGATATCCTTGCAATAGCTGATTCGATTTAGTGTGGGACCCAAAGTCAGATCATAAAAATCCACTGCATTCTCACTGGAGCCAACTGCTAGGTAACGAGAATCTGGGCTAAACCTGAACAGATAAAAGGTTTCATGAACACAGGTTGGCACTTACAACAGATTATAATATTTGAGAAGTACAGAAATTTGCATTTCAAGTGTCTGCTATCCAGAACTAGAGGAATGCAGAGTATTCAGTCTGCTAAGCAAAATAACTTCTGAAATTAAATTTTCAGGGAATGCATATCCAGCAGAAGGTGGCAATAATTTTGGGACACATAATTACACATATAAGTGAACTGGGAATATCACTTGAATAACTCTATTCATTATCAGATTTCATGGTCTAACAACTTGTGACATCCCCCTGATGACACTGACTCCCTTATGCTGTACTTACAAGGTTAAAAACTGGAAAATTGAAGTGCTCTAACTGAAGAAAAGCCAGAACTTCTAGATGCAATGTACTGAATAAAAAGTTGTAAATGAAACCTTTTGTTTGCCCAATACATCTTTGCACACTGGTTTCTTTCTTACCGTTTTCCTTTCTAGTCTTGAAACTCAGTAGTTTCCTGAGCTGAACAAATCACTCACAGCCACTTCTATGTTACTGGGGAACTTTCTTTATTTCTGTTCTCTCTGAAACATACCTTGGGACAGCTTTCCAACTCCAGCAACCCCCTAATTCCTAGCAGAGCTCTCCTGCAAGGTCCCTCTTTGCTTATATTTCTCTCCCATCACACTTTGCTATCCAAAACTTTCCTTAGCTGATTACAACCAATTTATCTCACAAAAGAAACAGAAGCAAAATTTTACTTCCAGCTCTCTGAAATATAATTTCAATATTTCCCACAACACAGAGTTGTATTTTTAAAAAGCAAAATATTAGAGATTTCTAGCATACTACAGTAGAGCAGGAATATTTTCTGACCTGATATCTTGAATTGCTGATCTTCTGTCCCGTTTTTTCCCCCAAATTTTTAGAGATGTCACAAGCAGGATAATAAATTCTCCATTTTTCATGCCAATAGCTACCATATCACCTTCTGGGCTGTAACAAACAGTACGAGCTGCATGTCCTAAGCTGACTTTGTTCAGCATCTTCTGTGAAGAAAGAAAAACCCAGAATAGTAACTGTTACTATTTGTCCATATTTTAAAAGCATCTTATGCTAATAGGTTGTTAACATGCTAATAACATTACATGGATTATTTTCAGAGTACAATAAAAAGCAAGTTTTAAGTCTGCAACACCATCACAAGTCAATGTTTTTTCCCCTAAACAGGTATTCTCTAACACCTACCTTTTCAGCAATATCCCAGAGTCTTACTGTGCCATCTTCTGCAGCAGAAAGGAAAAAGTCTCTGGATGGATGCGTTGCTAGGCCCCAGATGGGTCCATCCATATGACCATTAATTAGAATGTTACATGCAGCATTTTTCTCTCCAACTTCAATTATTTCAGCATTTCTTGTCCCAACAAGAATTTTGCCCTTAAACAATAGTAAAATAATTATCTCTGATAAAACACATTAACTTCTCATGATGAACTGTAATTAAAATATCATCTAGAGCTATAGTTCTGTCAAGAAAGTTTGCTTAAGTCAAATTATTAAATAATCAAAGAAAATTTATTTTTTAAAGTCTTCTGAGTTATTAAAGCACAAAGCGCTGTAGATATCAAGATGCTGGCTGAGTTACTGCTTGTCACTTGATATTTGATATCTGAAGTGTGAAAAGAAAAGGGAAAATAAATCCTTAATTAGTCTTCAATAAAATATATATGGAATATTTTCCTAAGAAAGACTGAGGTCTCACAAACTAGATGTTTTTCTGCCACAATATCAGTTGTAGACACCTTCTAGCTTGGTCTTTCATTTCAAATACTAGCTAGAAGAGAAAGCAAGACTAATTTATCTAATATTCAGGAATCAACCACAAATTATTATCTTTATTTTACAGTCAGGCAGCTTTGTTTACCTTGCCTCTACAAACAGAGCGAACACAGTCTGTCATTTGTCCTGTCTCTAGTCTGAAGGCACGACATCGTTTCAGCTCCTGGTCCCATAGCTTGACTGCTCCTCCTTCCTTTGAGCTATGAAGACATCAGGAAGAACCATGAGTACAACAGCTGCCACAAAAAGGACAATTTGATGAAAGAACGACATTATTTAATACTAAAATGCCTCATTTGCATGTTTTAATTGTTAAAGATTCTGTTTGCTTGAACAGTTGATGTTAACATGCTGAGCCTCACAGCCCAGCAAGACAAACTGATTCCAAGTCCTCACTGTACTGCTTTACAGAACAAGTTGAAGGATGGGTGCTGCTCAGCTTAGTCTGAATGAGTAGCTCTGAGGGAATCTGTCTAGTCAGAAGAACCATCAAGCAGGCAAACCACCATCTTAATAGTCTGACAGGCAAAGATTTTCAAATTAGAGTTGAGAGAAACAGAAAAGGTATGTATTTTACTTCTGTGAAATAAATGACAGAACATTTTCACTTCTGTGAAAATATCACTATTTTCACTGCTGTAAAATAAATTACATAGATACAGCAGAAAAACCACACAACTAATAGGTATTAATTATGCAAACACTAAGTATTTCCCTCCCATTTGCAAAAAAACCCTGGTATTTCAATGTAGAACACGTTGAAAAAAAAAAGTTTCTAAAAAGAAGATAATGTTTATTGAAAGAGGGGCATTATGTTTATTGAAACAGGGGCATGAAACCTGACATTTCTAGTTGAGCTAGGACATGGCTTATCTGTCTTCAATGTCCCCTAACAGAAACAAAAAATCAGTGTTCCACAATACCAAGCTGCTTGTGTTACAGCTTTGATTACTGAAGAATCTTACTAAGAACTTCAGAACGTTTAATCACAATTACTGATTTGCACTATTATTATTATTATTAAAAGAACTATAATGAATTATAAATTGATACTTCTTGCAATAGTATATTCTTTGCTTCCCACTAGCACTGTTTTGACATATGACTGATCATTATACTCAGCAAGAAGATTTTACCAAAACAAGGCCGGTGAACTGCAACTAAGGTAGAAAAATGTGTGCAGTCTTCCTAAATGAAAATTTGTTTTGCATACTGTCAATACTTCATTTTCCCACAGGAGATGACTTCTGGGTTCTTATTGTTATTCAATACTATTTGTTTCAGGTCAAATGCCAATTATTAAGAGCCTCTGAAGCTAAGTGGTAGAGAGAACATCCTCCAAATAAAATCACAACAACATTTAGAAATAGTAGAAGGAAATATTTCAAGCACAGAGGTAAGTCTTCAGTTGAGTCTGAAAATATAAGTGGCCTGTGCCCTGCCAAGTGGGACATTGTCATGTCATCAGATGGACTGCATTACAGCTGAAGCATTTTCTGATCACTAGGAAGGCACCAAAAAAATTAAAATGCTTGAGGAGATATTTTGCTTGCAACCCCAGACAAAGAATCTTGCTCTCTAGACTTGAGAGAAGACACCTTGACTCTGCCATCATAAATAAGCAGATCTTTAATTTGAAAGAAGTTGTGCATCATACTGCTATAAAATGTATCATTCATGTATTCAATCACAACTGTGCAAATCCTTTGGGTTAACCAATTCAGTACATCTTCAGTGAAAGAAGTAACCCACAAGGACTAGGTAACTTTTTAGTGTTTAAAGCTAAATGGGTGCTGGAGCTAGAACATCTATAAGGCAAATTTCAGACTAAATGATTTCTCTTACAATAAATGAGGAAAATAGCTAGTTGAAGTTTATATGGGGTTACCTGCACTTTGGAGGTGGTGGCTGCTCTTTTTTTTAATGCCTGTCAGGGATCTGAAAGGGACTGTTCTTCTGCCTTTAATGTCTCGAACATCCCATCGAGCTGATGGGATGAATACAAACCATCTTTAAAGAGTACACGTGCATGCAGAAAAAAACAGAAAAAGAAGACTCACGGCCTTTCTTTGCCTCCTGTAACAATCAAACCATCCCTCAGTGTGGTGTACATGGTGAAAACAGGTCCATTGTGAGCCTTGGCCACAATTCGTATCAACACATGGTCTTTCCAAACACAAACATCTCCACTGATAGTACCTGTAAATGTCAAGTTATTCTGAAAGGGGAAAAATATACTCATCATCTGATTCTGAGTAAGGTAGGAAGAAAAACATTCAGAAATAAACACCATTTGCATTTAGAGGCTAATTTGCTTTTATTTGCTGCTGCAGAAGAGGAAACTGTGGAAGAGGCAACAAGGACCTCCAGGGATGAAACAATGAGCTGCTCTATTCCTTGAAGTCAGACAGATGCTTTCTTGTAGCTTGAAGAAAATCACTGTATTTCTTTTTGCAATGATTTCAGCTTCAGACATATGGCTATCTATGCTTTTAGTCTATCAGGTGTGCAACATGTGGCAAAAAAAGTAGAATATCACAGTAAGTACTGACATTCTACACAAGCACACAATTTGCACCCCCTTGCTATATACATTATGCTTGCAGTAATTTTTGTGGTAGGTGAAGGAGCTCACTCAATTACAGTAACCTTTAGTTCAGGAAGAAAACATTTTTACTTAACTTAGAATTAAAAGCTGTCTGTTCTTTACTTCTGCTTCCTGCTCTTGAAAGGCAATAAAAATAAATTTCATTATCTCTGAAAGTAAAGGATTTTATCCTATTTATTAAATCCTATTTATTAGGATTCCAACAGGAACTGGTTATTGAGCAAAATGGTTTAGTAATTTAGATGAATCCTCAAATTCAGTATCATGTGTAATATTATCATGTTTCAAGAATATCAGTACACATGTGGCACAAACACTTTCCTTGACTGAAGTGGGTTGATGTCCTACACACTTTATTTTGAGGGGGTGTGTGTGGCTCTAATAAAGCAAAAGAGGACCGGAAATGAAGCTGAGAGCAGATCCTCAGACAATTCTCACAGCATTACTGTTGGGCTGTTTCCACCTTCTGTTTAGGGAGAGCTGAACCAGCTCCTTCTGGGACAAAATCAAGAACAGCACTCCCAGAACTGCTCCCTACAGAGGTATGGAGAACACGCCAGGTTTGGCTTTATTCACTTTGCACAGCTTTTCACAAAACCCCTGAAAGCTCTGCATCCTCAAACCTCTTACCAAACCTCAGGCCATGGAGCATACAGCCTGATTCTCACACTAAGAACCTGTCTTTTCCTAAAAAAGTTTACAGAGGTTTTCCAAAGCCCTGACTAATGCCTGGGCTGGGCATCAATAACAGCTATCATTTGGAAAATATCTTGGTGTTTTGAAAGACTCCCATATAAATCAGAGAGACATCACTGTGTAAAAGAGATAGTGTAGCAAAAGAAGGCAACCACAGCACAGTTAAGAGTTTCAAAAATCAAAATCAGTGTAAATTCAGTCGGACCAAACAGTCAGATGGTCAAACAGGACAGAAATGCAGGCAATCAAAACAAAGGACCACTTCACAAAAGGTATCTGTGGCTTTCTGCCCAGCTGAAGATACTGCTCATGCAGAGCAACTCCAGATCCAGCAGTGCTGTGGAACTTAGCAAGATGGCCTGCACCTGTCCAAAACCTCCACAGAAGAAACCCCTCATGCAATTGCCTAAGAACATCCAACATTAAGGAATGTCCCAGGCCAACACTGCTCTCTGATCACCCATGAGCAGTAGCACATACAAATGACAAAACAATCACTTCCAGGTGGGCATAAAATCAGACTCATTTCTACTGTTTGGTTCTTGCAGTCTAGACTCAGTTTTGTTTTACTTGGATTAAGTAACAAGCAGTGTGTTATCAGCTCAAGGCATCTGTGTTTGTTTTTCCAGAAAACATACAAACCCATAGTCTTTTCCACTGTAAAGAAAGCTGGTACTAGTTCTAACTAGCAGGTAAACATTAGGAATGCTAAAGTGAGTTTAATAAAATAATTTATATACTCATTAGCAGGTTATAAAAGACTCACTGAACTGAATAAAGGAAGAAGGGTAAAAAAAGTTAGGTTTTATGCATTTTCAGGTGGTTTGTTGAAGTACGTACCGCTCCAAAAGCTACAGAAAGCATCGTCTGCATGCGGGCATCTTCTATGGAGCTCAGCAGCCCTTTTTTACTGAGGAGAGCTCTTCCAGCCAGCGTCCAGAACCTTACATGTTTTACTCCCACAGAAACAAACTGTGTATCTGAATCCGGCCTGAATTCTGCTACAAATATACGCTGGTTATGACCAGCTCGGCTGGCAATTTTGGCACCTGGCAGAAAGAAAATGGACATTTTGAATTTGCTGAGAAAAATACACATTTCTGGTTAAAAACGTTAAAATAATTTTGACCCATACGAGGATCCCTCAGTTGGGATCCTTAGCTGCCATTCTGAATTTGTATTGACCCTGAAGATGAACACAGGCATGTTCTGACCACACACGCTTCATCCTACCTAAGATTGTATAAATACACATCTGACATTGCATCCACCCCCACAGGATCTATCAGACAAGCTATGAAAGATCACTTGTTATTAACTTAATAGCTAAGATTTAAAATTCTGAGAGTTACTAGTTATCAACAGCAATCCCCAAAGAGAGAGGAAGTAAACCTCTAAGACTAGAGAATCAGATCCATAATCTGGGCATGGCTTTGCCAGGCAGAAAAGAGACAAGGAAAGGAGCTCAAGTCTCTTTAGCCTAAATCAGAAATACAGATCAAAGCTGATCTGAAAACATGTAGCATAGCTTAAGGCAACAATTATATAAGATGCATAGAGGAGCTATCCTGGCACCCCATTTCTGCAATTTGCAATTTTGGGAATAATTTCAGGAGTATGACAACCTAGTCAGTAATCAGACTTTAGAGAAGAATAAAGTAATAATACTAATAGTAATAACGATGACAATTTTTAAGAAAAGAAATCCCTACATTATTCTTACTGGAAATCAGTAAACTATCTTGATCTTTACACAATAGTTTCAAAGGAGATATATTCAGCAGTCACTAGAATGAGTAAACACATGTATTTTAGATCTTGTTGTATAGTGCACAGCATTTATTGTAATATTTTTTTTAATCAGCTGATGCTTTAATGTTACAATTGCTCTTGACTCAAGCCAACATATCTCTAACAATGTCAACACCTTCTACCAAACCAGCCTCTTTCCTACCTTCCTGCCACTTCCAAATGGTAATGGTGTGCTCGGGATCCAGCCCTACGGACAGCAGCAGTTTGCCAGTGGCACTGAAACTGACTGAGCAAACGCCCTTGGAATGGTAGCACCGCAGAACAGACAGTGTCTGCTTGTTCATTGCATCCCACACGTGAATAGAAGGAGCTGTAGCTGCACAAATAGAAAAACATACCATTAGTAGTCATTTTGAAAATGTGCAATGATTTGTTTATTGAAGCAGTTAATACTTTTTTATAAGACAAAATTGCTGTGATCAGATGGGGGAGAAAAGGAAATAAAAGAAAAGAGATTCTGGCCTCCATTTGGAAAACAATTTATGACAAACAGGATCATTAGGTAGAATGAACAAGTTGGCCTCATTACATTGCAGAGGTGTTAATTTGTTGCTTAACTTGTTATGGGACTTGTGAAGCACAGCAAAAGTTCTAAAAGCAAGAGCTGTCTTCTGTTTTTCTCTTATTAAAACATGGAGCAGCATGCTATCTCAAAAACCTTCATAAATAAAGCTGCTCATCAAGAATGTAACTTCTCCATGGGGCTTTTGGACAACTGATAGTTACAGAGAAATCAGTTGACAGTGCAGGGCCAAAATCTCCTTTCTACACAATGGCCATTTGTCTGAAATGTTTGCCCTCTTTGGAGAACATCAGCCGCATCGCCAGCTTGCTTGCCAATGCTGGGTATTTTGTCTGCATTGTTTAGACTGCAAGCTCTCTGCAGTAAAAAATGTTTTTCCATGCTACTAATGTATGTGATTATCTCTAATGTGATGACAGCTGTTTTTTTCCCAGATGCAATGCCTTCTCAAAAGATCTTGCAATCCATATATAATTTATAATCTCTGAGCAGCATCTAAGGCATTTCCAGTACAGTAAGATTCTCATACTTCTTGACTTCTGGTCTCTAATAAATTTGACTGCAGAGTCCTAAGGTTACTGGTTCTTGTCATAGTTCCAGATTCACATAAACAAAATTCTCTTTTGGATTCATGCTTTGTGTTTCTAATCAGATACATCTAGGCCCTCAAAGGCATGCATGTGACGGGAAACAGTAGGCAAAGGGACTTAGGCAAAATTTCAGCCACATGAAACTCAGTTTTTGAGCACAATTCCACAGCTGTTCCAAAACAGTCTTTAGAACACACTTCCTCATTTCTTTTATTTCCCATTTGAATTTCCTCTCATGGCAGCAACAAGATGTCATTATTACCTTTTGAGAGGTACCACAGCATAGTGTGGTCAAGCCATTAAAACAGAAAGGGCAGGAATTGACAGCAACTAGCACTTCCCAAAAATTGTCAGCAAATTGCTTGCTGTTCTTACGGGAAACTGAGGGAAGGGCAAGATTTATTATGGCTCTGAACTGCTTTTCACTTTTCAACACTCCTCTTGGTAAATCTCTGTATTACCCTTGAATTGTGCACCTTGGCCAAAGTTTTCTCTTGGGTGGCAGACAGAAACTCTCACCTAGTTTTCCTAAATAAGAACTGACAAAATCATTCAGAGCAAGATCTGCAAGACAGAGAACATGGACTCAGGTCCTTCTATGTGGTGGAGTCCTTCTGAAAGTCTCTGCCCTGACACTTTCACAAGACAGATGTTCTACGATGTCTTCTCCTTCTGGGAGCAGTTGGATAAAGCTACCATGGGCTGGCAGGACAGAAAAAATCTTTAGTAAGGTGGACCAAAGCTACATCCAGTCATTAGGAAACGTTAATTGCCATTCCAGCCCACTACAAACACTACTGCTACAAGAACACCTGCATCACTGTAGACAACTGAAAACTGGAACTAGAAAAGCAAAGGCCATTGATAAGACAGATGCCCAAACAGCCATCAATAAATTCTAAGTAAAACTATTCAACTTTTTAATGAAAGCAGGCAGCAGCTTGGATTCCAGAGTAATGGCTCCAGAAAGAAGAAAAAAGAGTGCTCATTTCAGGCAGTGACAACAGAATTTAGTAACATACAGAAGCTCAAACTGAAGTTGCAGTAGGAAGAAGGCACCTGAGACAAGGAAAGTGTCCAGCCACCATATACAGGACTATAAATGTTCTTTTATATAAATATCCATATCATCTTTGGTTTTTATATACAGGCTAGAAGTGTGGGAAAAGGTACCTATGTTCTTCCTCCCATCCTTAGAGCAAGCACCATTTGCCATATTTAAGAGAAGTCAACACACATTAAAGATGTCAATGATGAAGCTTTAGATGCACATGAAGATTATTACACTTTCTATTATACATGACCACATTTACGCATCTCTGAAGATTCTTCACAAGACAATTATGGCTGCTCCACAATGAACTCATTCGCACATGACGGTGATGAGTTTTTGCAATCACAGTTGAAAAAATACATATTAATAAAAAATATCTCGGTCAAGACCATCAAAATGTCAAAGACCCAAAATGATAGAGGAGAAATTAAACTGACATCATAAAAAGCATTTTGGATCAATGGTAATAACTGCATGACAATTGTACATAAATGTGAAAGGTGATTCGTTTTTCACTCAGTCACCTAGGCCTCCTCAATAGAATTTACTTTAGAAATGCAAGTTTAAAATTACACTCAATTGAGGGTCTAACCAAATATTGTCAGCCCCAACATGTCTACAGAACTGGCAAGCATACCCAGGAATGCTACAGCAGCAGTATGTATTAGGACTCATAATCACTAAGCAGCAAGAAGGGAATATGCTTCATCTAGAGTAGCTTTTAAGTGTGTTCTAACATTTTTTAATTTTTCTATATTTACAGTATGCTGAGCTGTTTTGACTTATATTCAGTGCTGACAGTAATATGACTGATACATGGAGTTTAATAAACTAAAAATGAATTCACATCACTTATGGCTCTATAAACCTGCAGATGGCTACTAGATAGACTAACTACATCTGAAGATGTCAAAATTTTGTTTCCCTTACCTGACATATCTGCTGAGTCTCCTGTAATGGAAAAGCAGCAGAAAAATCATTAGATCAGAAATAAGATAAGTGCTAAAGAAAATATATGCCACATTCAGTGTAACTTCTTAACACACACCTTGATCTTTTTGTATTGCAGCAGCACCAATACTGCTGTTAAAGATGAGTATTTACTGATGAAAGGAGGTCACATCAGAAATAAATCACAGAATTAATATATTGAATGAATGAATATATTTTGGTTTCCAGTTTCTGCTACAACACAAAAAATCTAGTTTCGGTGTATGTTAGGTCGCTCTCAGCCCAAGTAAATAAAACCCATATTTTTTCATGTTATTGATATTTCAACAAAATAAGTGGGAAAAAATGCTAAGAAGTAGCACGTGAATACCTGAAGATTCAATAAATGTTTTTGAATCATGATGGGGACACTATTTGTGTCACCCATATCAGTAGGAAAAGTAGCAGCAGTTCTTTATAGAGTATATACACTCCTCAATATCACATGAAAATCAGAAAATAAGTGCTCTTTTAAGATATTTCACTTCCAGCTTATTTTTAATTCTCTGCTTAAAAGTATATGTAATTTTAAAGTGTCATCTGCCTCTGATTGGTATGCCTTAATCCACATTGCAAAACAGTTAATAATTGTCCTACTGCTAATTGATGTAGAAATGATTACGAAAATTAAAAAAGGATTAAGTCCTGTGTTTTGTCTTGGGTAAGATGAACACTGGAGAAGAAACGTTTTCAAATCCCTCCACTACAGAAAGGCAAACAGGGCCAGATTAAGAAATGTGATGAAAAAGCAAATTCTTAAAGGCAATAAAAGGTTTGTAATTCCTGCAAATGTTCAAACCATAGACAAATATCTGCTGATGATTTTTTTCCATTTAAATAATTTCCATTAAAAATTTGTTTTAAATTATGTGATGCAAGAAACTCACCAAGAAAATAAGCTATTTTAGCTAAGAAGTTACTATTATCAATGAGTCAATTTTAATGAGACATGCCAGGTAATAAACTCTGCAGAACTGATTTTATTTATAGGAAAATTCTAAAACAAACCTAAAGGAAATACAAAGCTATTTTTGCTGAAATCAAATAAGGGGTTTTTTTGTATTCTATGCCCTGAAGAAAATAATGTGGGTTTGAATCTGCTGAGAACCAACAGAAGATATGAAAATTACAAAAATCACTTCTACAAAATCTAAAATATATATTTACCAGCTATGCCAATGCAAAATGTGGGGGCTTTTTTTTTTTTTGTTTTGTTTTTGTTTTGTTTATTTGTTTGGTTTTTTTGTTTGTTTTGTTTTGCTTTGGTTTTTCTTAACCTGGTTAGTTCACAGATCTTTATGTCACTATGAAATATATATACCTTTTCCTTCTAAATCTCAGTTTATCTGTAGGGAACACCATTAGGTTTTGGTTCCGCCTGGAATATTTCAACTATATCATATCCAACCACCAAGTAGGTATTATAAATCTACCTGATAAGGTAAAACCTAGATAAGATTGACAGGTATTTTAAGAAATGAAGGTTAGCTCTATGCAGCTTCTTTGGAAGGGCAATGACTCTTTGGAAGTCTAACACAAGCTAATAGTTCAATACAACCAGACTAATTTAATGGGGCTTAAGATTTCTGAAAAAAATAGTTTTGGTAATACTCCAAACAAAAGATAAGTTTAATCTTTCATGCCTTAATATTTTTGTCAACTTTATTCAATTACACTCAAAGGAACTTATAAAGAGGACAGGTAACTGAGTAACACTCATACAAACGGAGATAGCATAATAAAATATTTTATGATTTATCATGAATTTACAAGGTCCTGGTTGCATGCTATTATGTTAATTCTTTTTACAAAAATACAAACATACCTACTTGGCCAGTTGCCACTATGTTGGTAAACTTGGGGTGCTGATTCACCGTGAGGCACAAAATGTCATCATTGTGTTCCTGGTAAAATGACTGAGAGCCTAAAAATAAGAAAAAAAAATTCTAACCTTAGTTCAACTTTAAAACATTTTATTAAATTCCATTTAATTAATTTAATTATTAAATTTAATTATTTCATTAAAACAAACACACATAGACATGGCTAATGTTTGAAAATGTTATAGTATTTGTTAGAAAACAGCATTATGGTCATGTTGCATTTTGAAGCTTAAAACCAGAAAACAGAAACTCCTAATTTTTTATCTGAACTTCAACAAAGAGCACTCAGTAACTCCAAAAAATTCACTCAAGTTTTCCACATGAATTTGCTTAACTATCTCAGAAACAAATGACATTGTGTACGTTTTTAAAGGTCTAAGTTATCTAAACTAACTTGCTATTGGGAAGGAATGTATGTGGTACAGATGACTGAAAAGTAAACCAATTAAATATTAACTTATTCTTAGAAAAAAAAAGTAAATTACAATTAATCCATAGTTCAGCTGTGTGATGATTTCAACATGCAAATTTCAGAAAGCTAATACCAAAAAACCGAATCTTCCTTTAAAACTCAGCCTCCAGGAACATTCCAGTACACTTGTTTGCTTATGCAGCTATTATGAATATTCTCTACACACTGAAATTTTAGGAACAAATAACATTTTTCCACATAATTTTTACAATATTAAAGCATATTACTTTATAAACTGTAACTCCATGAGTGTAAAGAAACATTTTCCCCACAATGGGTTTTCTCCTACCTGTTGCCACATTATACAAGATGCCAATAGATGCAGTGTGATAAATTACATCAGCACCATCATTCAAATAGTGCACATTGTTTCTGCAGTCCTTGCCTCGATACCCAAACACCAGCTCCAAAATTAGGTCCTAAAAAAGATATTCACATCAGTAGATTTACCAAACCTTAAAGCAGTTATGAACTTCACACTCCTTTATAGGATTTTATTTTTTAAATTATGTCCTTATGTAGTAAGCAACATGCCAAGCCAACAGGAACTGAGCTCGTGCCTCCCCTGGCATTTACACCGCTGCTCACTCTTGTCACACACAGCTGTGTCACCCTTTTCACCTCGGGGGGATGCTGCAGAACGTGCATGCAATACACACAGACATGTATATACACTGACAGAGATACTCATACACAGGCCCATAAATAAATAAAATGCAGTGAAGAATAAAGTTCTTTTAATGCAGAAACAAAGAAGGACAAACACTGGTCCACAATTTAATTCTAGCCAGCAACTAGAAACCCAAATTACAGAGTGCTGATGTCAAAAAGCTGTTTATTATGCTACACCAAATATCTAGCAGAATCAACAATATTTGGGTTGGTAAAGAAGTGCATTTTCCAAGGTTAGATGAAATTTTCACTTCAGATTAATCAAAAATTGGTATGTTTATTTGCAATTCCCATGTAATGAAAAAACAGATGCCAAAGCTAAACTCATCATTAACAGAATCTTAAAAATTATTTTTAAAACTCTTATCAGTGATTAATTTAAACTGAAGTTTTAAAATAAATTCTAAGAAGATTGGAATAAAAAAATGCTTAGTATTATTAGCAACAATACACCCTTTAACAATCCACTTATCTAAACAAGACATCCTGCTTTCTACAGACAGTTCTAAGGTTTCATGATTACTAAGAATTGAGTTATACTCCATTTTATTTGCAAGAAAATTAAATATTTTATTTATTTATTTACAAGAAAAAATTCTCTCCCACTTTTTTTACTCTTTACCCACTATTCACTATTTCCACCTTTGACATAGTTAGAATAAAACAATCATTTAATGTGTTCATAGGTGTGTCAGTTTCTGGCAAAACAAAATCCTAAAAAGAAGAAGAGAACAGCAACATTTTTCTTACCTCTATGGGTCTCTTTTTTTTCCCCACATTATTTGTCTGAAGTTTCTCTGGCTGTGGCAATGCCCTACTAACTGGTGGTCTGAAACAAAGAACTGTGAATAAGAGAAGGCTGTCCGTCACCCATTCCATACATACCCATTCCAACAGTAACCTTCCAACCTGCTAAGGCGCTGGGAAATCTTAGAGCCCTGTCCTACTCAACTCAACTCATATTCATATTCATCTTCAAAATAAATACCTCTGTCAAAGGAGAAGGACAAAACCTAAAAATCCTTTGTTTAACATGCTAGGTTCTCTAATTCTTCAACAATCCATGGGCTTAATGCAAAAGCTTGTTTTAAAATGACTGAGCACTTTTTAAATATTCTTTGCTTTCTCAAGCTATGTTTTTAAGGCACTTTCACCTTCTCTGCAGCAATTTTACTGAAGAGAGGCTTACCTCATTAATCTAATAATGCCTATTCCCACATGCCTTCAGCAGAACCCTGTTTTCCTATTTTTGTAATAGTTTGTAAAGAAATCCAGATGCACCTGCCCATTCACTCCTACATCAACTGAAATGTGATATTGATCAAAGTTTACATGGAAGAAAACCAAATGCAGGAGTAACTGCCATAACCTATGTTCCACTGTTCTGAATAGCCCAGATTTAATTAAGCAATCTCAATTAGGTATGTTTAACAAATATCCATAACATCTCTCACATTACATTCAACTGCACTTATACAAAGAAACACAAACAAATAAGCTTTATTTATTAAATAGATGCAACTATTCCTAGTAATTTTCAGGAGCATTGATTATTGATTCTATAGATACAGCATTTGTGGCTGTGATAATAACCCTTTAAGCTTGATCTTTAAGAGGAACAATTAATTTTAAAATAAATTCTATGTATAAATAAATTCAGTGATATCCAGATTATTTAATCCAGTAGGCAGTGTAATGCACTAATATCAAACATGAAGCAACAGGTCGCTTTCATATTCCTTTTTAGTATGAAGTACTTCTAATTTCATCTCTGCTTTTGATTCAAAATAATGACTGTATTTTCTCATAATGATAGAATATGATTTGTTTGTACACTGTGTAGTTTGAAGGACAGGTAAAAAGCATTTTTTCAGTTATTCAAATAAAATACCATTTTCTTGGATTTATTTCTTCATTGTTCCTGCCTACCTTTAGTACAAAACAGATTGCCCCAGAATGCTTTGAAAGACTTTATGTTTTTAATTTCTCATTTGTCATGGACAATTCTGCAACAGTCTCATTACTATTCCTCTAGAAATTACCAAAAGAGAGCATAAAAAAGCCCTTCTTCCACTTGTCAACCTGATATTTGGCACAGAGCACTCAAACATCTCTCCTCTTCTCCTACCCTGACCCTAATTAACTTATGATCCTGAAACACATAGAGAAAAATGAGTTGGAGGGAAAAAACGGAGAAAAATTAAATATAGCAGAAGAACATATTTGAAGTTTGATGAAAGCAGTAAAAACTGAAAGGACATGATTCTTATAGAGGTTTACTTTACTGGAACTGAATATTCCTCTGCTGCTTGGTTCTAGAATTTGGCATTTTTATAACATTTGCAGTCTGCAAATCCCTTGTGATAGAATGGGAGAAGAGGAAAAACAATCTCACATTTTACAGCTGCTCAGGAAGACCATCTATACTTAAAGGCTCTACAGACATAAACACAGGTTGATATCATCCTTAAGTAATAATGAGAGTACATTTACATTTGTACATTACCACACAACAGAATAAAGTGAAGGTATATTGGTCAGGAAAACTTGAGAATTTTTACTCAGCTTCATTATCTCACAGGTCACCTAAACAATCTGTCTAAGTATCTGTCCAGGAAAGGCTAATTCTGTATTGATCCAGAGCAGAACTGGAATGCAAATTACAAGCACATATGGATTCTCTTTCCAATTAAATTTCAGGATAACAATTTCAGGATTTGAAAACAGGGATGCTGAAGGATATGAGTATATGTTTTCCAAGTCCTTTTTCAAAGGTGTGAGAGCTGAAAATATTTTTAATTTGCTATGTAATGTGCAGCAAAGTGACTAATGGCATATACAACACACAGTGGTCATATACCTGTATTCATAACCTGCTGCATGCTCAAAAACTGTGCGGAAAAGATGGGAAAGAGCATGAATAACACGTTGGGGTGAATTCAGGTATGGATAGGGTCAGTTTCAGCATGGGGAAGAAGTGTTCCAGCCATCTGTCATAAGGGAAATAAATACCTCAATATTGGCACTTTATTTTCAAAATTAAAATGCATTTGGTAGATGTATTTTAATATTTCCTGTTATGAAACCATCAAAATAAAGTACAAGCATTTTGAAGTAGTTTCTGAAACAAAAAAAAATACCTTGTTCACAGTTTAGACAAAGCTTAAATATTACTACTGATTTTTGTATGACATATTTTATTCTATATTTTCCTCACTGTTACTGAGTATCTAAAGTTACTAAAAGAACAAGGGATGATTTTCTGTTATACAGCATATGTAAATTACCACCAATTCTTTTAGTTCTGTGGTAATTTATAACAGTGTGATTTACAATATTTATTTCTGTTTTAAAAACACACGTATTATTTTTGGCATGATTTGATAGAGCAAATTACAGTAGCTGGTACAAAAGAAAAAGTTCCCTCCTGTGTGGGGCACCAAAGTTACACTTCATATTTAGGGGAACTTGCAGAGAACCTAGCAATTGATTTTGCATGAAGTGTCTTGCACTGCCCTCCCCAAAAGGTGCTGGCAAGCATGAAGTACACAATGAATTTTAAAAGTAAGGAGGACTTCTTTCCATTTACTCTTGGCAAGTTCTTCAAAGTCATTTGTGAAACTTCACAGAGGTCTGGTTTCCATTAGAAGATAATGAAGGCTGGTAGTTTGTAAGTACACCTTCTGGACAAAAATGACTTATAATTATTTCATGTGTTCTATGAGCAGTAAGAGCCAGTTTTACTCACTAATGCAGATACAGGGAATCTGATGCTCAAATAATTCAGTAACATTCAGTAACACCTTGGCCCGTCAGGTGAGACTGTCAAATCATCACATGTAAAAGAGCTGTCCACTAGGGGGCTGGGAAAAGTGCTATCTTTGTACTTCAATAAATATTACTGAAGAATACTACTTGTGAAACACTGGAAAGTATAATAGTTAATGGAGTTGGAGTTCATGCTGGTAGGTAAGAGTATCTAGCTTACTGTGTGAAACAGAACTACAATGCATATATATAACTTTCAGATTTTTCATACAGCAATATTCTGAAGAGTGATAGGTGCATAGTATGGCACCCAACATGACAGATGGCTTTTTAAGGAAAATGGGATGTGGCAGTAAAAGATGGACTAGATAGGAAAATAAAAGCATTACCTGGAACCTCTTTTCAGCAGCAGATAGGAAAGAGAAAAGGATTACTTATACAAATTTGGCTAAAATTTAGGTGTCAGTGAATTATTCATATAGATAATTATTGCTGACTTCTTGGTTTGTATACTTCTTTTTACAAGGAGATTATTCTCTTATATAGACTATATAAATCTATTATTTGTATAGAAAACTCCCATTCACTTAAATGGGAATTATGAACATGTGTTGACATGAGAATATAATTATTTGGAATAATTCTACTGTAAATAGAGAAAAAAAGCAGAGGCAGAAAAAAACCCATAACAACCCTCTGAACTACACAAACTATTCAGCGTCAGCAAACACAACACCTGAATAACACAAAGAAAGGTTGTGCAGGTTTCATTTCCTGAAATAAGCTGATGGATGGAACAGTCAACTCGCTCTTAAAGACAGATGTTCAAGTTTAGTCACAAAAACATTCATTTATACTAAAATAAAATTATCTCAGCTAACCAGAATGTGTGGGATACTGAGTACTACTGATATGTACTATTTTTTCATGACTACTTAATTCAGTTTATATTGATTGAAGACACTTTGCACTGGATAGGTTTCCTCAGTCATGTGTGATGGAATACTCCTATAATTTGGCTAGCCAAAAACCCTCATTAATAATTAAAGCATATGGGCATGTACAGATTATCTCCTAATATCTGTAGTATGCATGGGCACTTTACATTAGTTTGATTAGCTGGTACACTTCCACTGGTTTGATAAGCTCTTTTTTCTAAAGAGCCACTAAACAACTTCACTAGGTGAACACTAGTTATATTTTCTCACTTATAAGTTAAGCAAAATAATTTAGGGAATATTTTAGGAAAAAAAATCCTGAAAATTAAGAACACAATGTTAACAACTCACCAATTTACAGACTGATTTTTTTCCCCATACTGAAAACAATGGATTTTACTGGATGTCTTCTAATTAGTTTTAACTTTATTTTTCAGTGCAAGACTGATCCACTGTTTATTCATACAGGAAACAGCTAAACCTTTCCCACAATAAAATCCAAATGGAGCTTGAAGAGGTTTTGCAGTCAATAGCATGCAATTCTTCAAGGAGTACAAAATTCAAATACCTCCAGATATTTTTCACAGTAAAACAGTAAAAAAAAATTAACTGAAATTCCTGGTTGTTTGAGATCTCTTGGTACAGCCATTTGTCTGTAAGGTACATTAATCACAGCACTGCCCCCTTCACAGCCACAAATAGCCAGCTTCAGGGAGTAGAAGAACACAGTAAGAATGGAGCATTATTCTCCAGAGGCACCTCCCAACCCTCAGTGCTGTGCAGTTCAGGGAGCAGCAGAGTCAGAAGCATTTTCAAAATCAACCATGATAGACTTTTTTCTGAGTAATTTACTAAACACAAAAACATACTAGGAAAGAACTCTTAGTAAAGGATCAAAACAGTTTTCAAATGTGTTTTGTGCTGCTGAGTATCCATAATGTTATTACACAACCAAATTAGACACACAGTACACATCTTTTCACATAAAAATATTACCTATAAACATTATTATTCAGAAATGATAAATAATTCAAATTACCAACCTAAGTGCTTCCTCACAGCAGTGCCATTTTGTGTTTCCAACAGAAGTTAATATAAGTGTTGCAATTTCAATGATATAGCATGGTAATTTCACTGCTAGAGAACACTGCATCATTAGCAGAGCTGGTGTTTAACTCTGCAAGCAAACCTTAGACCAACAGAATCTGAACGAAATCTGGAGTTCCAGTCACAGAGGCAGCTCAGTCTGCAAGTCTGAAGGGTGGCCTAACAGCCTAAGGATTTGTTGTGCAGCAAGTTTAGCAGCATGTTTTTGCATGTGCACGTATTCTACACAGAGCAGGCGCAGAAAACCATAACCCAATGCAGGCACCTACACCAGAGACTGCCGGATGAGCACGAGGCGCAGCCAGCAGCCCAGACCCTCAAGCAGCAGTGGCAAAATGCTGCAGCCAAGGCAGGAATGCTCCCTTCAGCCCTGAGGCTCCATTAGCTCGGCACGGTTCTGCTCACGGAGCGCCCTCAGGCCCCTGTGCAATGCGCTCCCTGCTCTGCTCTATGCCAGAGCTCCCTGGGCTCCAGACACCCACAGGCCCCTGTGCAGTGCGCTCCCTGCACTGCTCCATGCCGGAGCTCCCTGGGCTGCAGACACCCACAGGCCCCTGTGCAGTGCGCTCCCTGCACTGCTCCATGCCGGAGCTCCCTGGGCTGCAGACACCCACAGGCCCCTGTGCAGTGCGCTCCCTGCACTGCTCCATGCCGGAGCTCCCTGGGCTGCAGACACCCACAGGCCCCTGTGCAGTGCGCTCCCTGCACTGCTCCATGCCGGAGCTCCCTGGGCTGCAGACACCCACAGGCCCCTGTGCAGTGCGCTCCCTGCACTGCTCCATGCCGGAGCTCCCTGGGCTGCAGACACCCACAGGCCCCTGTGCAGTGCGCTCCCTGCACTGCTCCATGCCGGAGCTCCCTGGGCTGCAGACACCCACAGGCCCCTGTGCAATGCGCTCCCTGCACTGCTCTATGCCAGAGCTCCCTGGGCTGCAGACACCCACAGGCCCCTGTGCAATGCGCTCCCTGCACTGCTCCATGCCGGAGCTCCCTGGGCTGCAGGCACCCACAGGCACCTGGCAAGCCCTCTGGCTCAGACAGTGAAGTCAAGCTGCTCCTTAGCATCCCCAAAATACTGAGGAAAGGAGGATGAGCTTTGATCACCTCCTCCTAGAACACTCTAGTGTTCACTCACATGAACTCAGAGAGAGAGCTGCACTTAGGTTTTGTCCCTTAATCCTTTTCTACCTATTAAAATGCTACTATTTAGTAGGAAATAAGCAAATCCCTCACTTCTGTTGCAAATTGTAACTACTTTTCCAAGCAGCTAAAGTTATTAAAATGCATTTCATCCTGCACTTCATGTACATGAACTTACCTTACTACCCCCTGCCTTCATAGGAAGCAAAAATAGAGAGTAATAAAAATAAAACAAAAATTAGTATCTATGACAGTAGACTAAACATTTCTAAAACATTTACCAATCTAATACAATATTAACATCAGAACAGAAGTCAAAATGCATACAGTAACCATAGTCTGGTTTTATTCTTCACAAAAAAAAAAAAAAAAAAAAAGTCTCTGAAGTTTTAGGGCCCCAAACTTTTCAACAATGCAGGTAATGGAATTCTTTCATGATATTTTTTTACATTCTGAATCACAATTTAATTACCTTACTACAAAATTAATTCTCTTAGTAATTTATCTGAAACTGAAAAACACAATTCACTCAGCCTCCAGAAACAGCTTTTGAAAGAAACACAAGAGGTTTACAATTTCATTTAAAAGCAAAACAAAATCTTTAATCAAAGCTTTCATGCCATGCAGATTATTTCTTTTTGATTTTCACATCAAATACATCTAATTAAAAAAGAGAAGGACCATTTCTCATAAATGCAAGACAGGGAACCACAGCTTTATACACAAGCATCCCACTCTCTGCTACAGCAACACAACTGAAAAACAAAAGATGATATGAAACTCCCACCAAAGTCACACTGCATTTCTCAACAAGGGTATCACAGACCTGTTCAGCTTCACTGGGGAAAGAGGTGTGAGCATTGCCACAGAACTCCTCACATTCCTGTAAAACTTTCTACTCTCCCAATTTCCCAGATCCTTACACCCCCGTTATACCCAGCCGTTTTCCTCACTTCCCCATCTTTAGTATTAGCATTCCCCAAATGCTAAGCCCTCCTTCCTTTTTCCTCACATACACTGTCCACATCAATTTGGCGGACAACAAATAACTTTCAGGGTCCCATGCTCAGCTGCAGATTCTACAACAGATAACGTTCTAAAGGTTATAAATTGTTATTTTGCATTTACTTTATTTTCTGGATCCTAGTCTCTTTTAAAGCCTACAACAGTGAACCAAGATATAAAACCAACACTGCAAAGCAACCAACTCCATTTTCCAGGATTCATTAACAAAAACTGCACAACTACTGCGGACAGAATTTTTCAAAGAAAAGTAGAAGTTATGAGGAAACTGAAGCAATGCAAGGAGCAATTAGAGCTGAATTCATCACAGCAGTTTGTTGGCAGAACCAAAAAACAGAGCGCTGTCCTTCACTAAAACAATTGTACAGGCTCATGCCTATCTTGCTAACTACCAGTCAGTATTTCAGTTTCAAAAACCCCATATGATTAAACACCAGCAAATAACTCAATCATCTCAAGGAATCCCCCAAATGTAAAAATATGTATACATACTTTTGGGCTCTCTGAAAATATGTACAACCTTTGGATCACTTTTCTTTTTTTCTTCAAAGTATTTAGATTCTTTTTATACATATCCTTTTAAGTTAAGAATCATATATTCCAATATAATTTTGTTCTACTATTGTCTTTTCAGGTTGATTTCTTGGCTAGAATTGTAATTTAGTAATTACCTTTCATCTAAGGTTGGCTCCTTTTGCTGCAGATGAGGCTTAATTCCAAACATTGGTCTAATGTTTGTTGATAAGGCTTTGATGGTGTAATTAATTTCATTTTCCCTTGTCACATCACTGTCATAACCTAAGAACCAGAGGGAAGAGTATCAAACCAAAATAAGGTATACAAGAACAACAATTTAATTTGCGCAGATTTCAACAATGTACTAGATTACAAAAACAATTATAGCATGGATTACTAGTAACATAAATACACAATAGAAAGAAAGTAGCTGGGAATCATGAACATTGTTAATAAAAGACATTCAAAGAAAAAGAATTCCCTACAATATCTTTGCAGAAAAAAAAAATTATTAAAGAGTCAAGGGACTTTAAAAGCTACCCCATTTCTGCCTGGATGGCCTTAACTACAATCACTAACAAAGAACCTCACTACCTGACACCTGCTCTTAAGACCTGTAAGATTCAGTGCCTGGTTTTCTCAGTTCCAGGATCCATAATTACCATGGGATCTATTGATCTGCACAAGGTTCCTACACATTGCTTAAGGACAGCAAGGCATATCAAGATGATTTTTACTACAGTAAAATAAAAATGTTGGACAAGCTAAGTTGTGACAGGATGTTACTTACTCTCCATTATTTTGTTTTTTCAAAGATAGAGCCAACAACCTGATGGTGATACTTCTTAACTCTAACTGAAATTAGTAGGACCTGACCTAGAGAAACCTTTGTGGATAAAGATGTCAATGTCTTTTCTTGTAAATCTGCACACACCTTGCTCTCTTTTAGAATACTTTTGAACATACGGCTTAAGAGGGTTCTGGGTAAACCAGCAGAGCCTAGGGAAGATGATAGAGCAAAGTTGTTCTAACAGGCCTCAAGCAGAGGCTGAACAGAAACTCTGAAGATTGCAATTTTTGACTAAGAAAGTTAAGGTTGACAAGTCCTCCTACAGGCAATTAAATTACTTTGTGTATTCTTCAGTACTTTTAAGAAGAAAGACAATTATTAAAAATTCTTTTCCAATGAATGTTTAATATGTCTTTAATATTTAATTTATTTCTTTGGTCATGTAGCATATTTTAGTGACAGCTGAAGTTAATTTATTACACAGAACTATTTAATGAGTAGCAGTGATAGTTTAAACATTCTTAAGGAATTGACAAGGAGGAAAAGGCACACTTGGGAGAAGAGAAAACAAGTCTGGAAGCTCATAGACCCTTGGAATTGTAACATGAAAAGGAAAACATAAGTAAAGAAAAACCAGCAGAAGTTAATGCTACAAAATAGAATTAACACTTTATAACTACTGATATTGTGACCTTAGATAGATACATAAACAGTCTACTTCAGTCTCCTATGCTTCCATGTTATGGAAGCAGATGCTACAACATCAAGATAACTATGATCTCACATTATGCAGATTTCAATATAATTTCTTAAGAATTAGGGACAAAATTCCAACTGTGATGATTCCATTTTAAACATTTTAAAGATTTTAATATATTTTAAAGATTTTGGGAAGCTATGTATAATTGATACTTAATATTTTTCATTTAGAAGATATCGAGTCTCTTTATGTACTCTGACTCAAAGCAGTAACTCAAACACTTCATCACGATTTTCTTCACAGCAGTTTATCAGTCCTTTCCCCAAAATCAAATTTTATTTAACATTTTTGAAGAGTATTTGCTACTTAAGATAGAAAAAATCCATAAATTATTTCTAAATTTTCAGTTTTTCATTAACGAAGTCTTCTTGAAATAGCACAATCGAGCTAGTTGTATAAATTACTACTGACCTCCATCTTCTTCAGAATCTAGATCAGACTCCTCGCTGTCACACTGCCTGCTATCCCGATGTCCTTCCATCTCATAAGTCCACAGCATTAAGGAGGTGTCTGCTCCCCCAACAGTGACCAGCAAACTGTCATCGTAAGTCCAGCGCACATTTGTCACGTGGGTGCTGTGAGCAACGTACCTCTTAAATTTTCCAAACTTCCCCTGAGAAGGGAAAAAAGAAGGCAAAGATCAAATTTACCCAGTCTGCTAGACAGAACTGAAATAAGTTGCCAGCACAATGACATTCATCTTAACTTCTTCACAGTTCATGCTTCAGCTGTTTAATATTTCATATGATTTTAACACGTGATTTGCCAAGTGCCTCTCCTATAGAAACCTCATTAAATGTTAACCTTATCTTCATATCAAGCATGAAAGAGTTAGTCTAGAAACATTCCCAGCAACAAACACTTGATCATTTTTAATAAAAGAGACAATAATCTAACTGAGTTGGAACAAAATTCACACAGAATATTTTGAATCAGTACTTGTGCACTGTTACCATCCTTAGCATAGCAACATTTCAAAATTGAAAGACACATTTTCCACCAAATATACAGGAGAACTATGGGTACTTGAAGAGCAGTAAAAATGCAATGTGCTTCTGGAATGGCTTTTCTATGATGTGTGATTAAATACTATTAAAGGTCTTTGTCTTAGAAAAAAAATTACTAATATTGGACAGAATGAAGGTCCTTAAAATCATGAATGCAATGTAGGTAAAAAAGACATGTTCATTATCTTCCAAAGCATTCTCATTCTTAAAGTTTTTCCTATTCATTTGCCACAGTCAGCAGCAGGACAATGCTTGATATGTATCTACAGTCTGACCTGGAATGATCATTCTTACTCATTGGAAGTTTAATGCACTGCCAACTGCAGTGTAATACCAAATGCTTGCTTTGATCAAAATGAGAAAAATATAAAAGCATTATTTGCTTCTGAGTGAGGAATTTTGACAGTTTTGAAAAGGCAGATTTATTAATAAATATTTTCCATAAACAGCTGAAAATTACTTACTTTAGCAGGGTATCGAAACAGTTTCACAAATCCAAAATCATCTCCTGTGGCTAATACTTTACTGTCACTAGTGAGGCATGAAGCAGTTACATCTGTGACTTCACCAATTATTGGCCAGATCCCTTCACAGCAAGAGCCCAAAACACTTGTCCATGATGCCCAGCCAATCTTTTCTACCTACAAAAACAACCCATTTGAGACAGAGAGTTCTTCTCAGGCATTTTTCTTCCATATCCAATTTCGAGAAAAAGTCCTTGCACTGAAAGATATATCACATCTAAAAGATAGTATTTTAATATATTAATCACTTATTTTTTTACCATTCAAAATTTCATTTGAGACCTGCAATTTTCCCTCAATGAAATTTCAATTCCAACATTTAAAGAAGTACTTTAAAAATTTTTACCTTAGCTGCCCTTTCAGGCTAAAGAAAACTAATTATGTTTTTGAACCATGCCTTTCAATACCATGGAAAATATTATTTGGAAATTACCCATTTTTGCTCTCTATCCTATGACAATGCTCTATATTTGAGAAAACAAAGCAATTACAATATACTGCTCTTGCCTATATGTACTATGTAAACAGCATTACCTTGTTATATAAAGACAAACATGAGGTTTTCCACAGCAAGATTAAGTAATCTGCAATAAGTTTTCAAAGGTGTTTAGGTACCAGAAGAGACACACAGATGACTAGTGAGATTTTCATGACTAAATCAGCCAAATGTCTGTTTTGTAATAGAAGAGAAAAATGTGAAATCCCCTACATATTTTATTATTTTAAAAGTTTAAAATTACAGTTTTATACGTCATTCCCTCTTATGTAGTACAGGTGGCTGCATCATAACTCTAATTAGCCAGCAAGTTAAGAAGGCAGTACAGTTCCTCACCTCCAAACTTGGAATAGTCTGTTTTTTCCCCCGAGGGGCTTCAAAAAACAACTGCTCTTTAGCACCAGTGTTGACTTGCAAAAGTTTTCCTATAAAACATAGGACATAGATATTGCAAGTTAATGTAGAAGATTCCATTTTACAGAAGGAAAAAATAAAGGTTAGTTTGAATTTTTTATTGCTAACAGCATTGCATCAATTATTTGTTTCTATTGGAAAAAACTGCATATGTAAATAATGGATCTGGAAGTATAGTCTTCTAAAAAGATCTAAGTCCTTTGACCCCTTAAATCCACAACCCTTTCTCCTCTCTTTGAAAACTTTACTGATGTACTAACTTTTCTCCCCTTATTATGGCTATCCCATCAGATGGTAGACAAAATGTACTGGGTAATGTACTGATAATTCAAAGTTTGTTTATGATTACTGGCTGTTGATGTATGTGCTTTTGGGATGGAGAAGCACAGATGCTGCCTGGCCACCAGCTGCTCCCAAGCAGGTGACTTCTTTACACATTTATATTACTTCATTTCTGAGGGAAATTCTTACCTGTGTTCCTGTGCTCTTCCTTTTCAAAATGCTCAAAGGAAGCTAACTTACAACACTCTTTCAAAATAAATCAGACTGTTTCAGAAGGGATTATGTAGAGGAATAAGAACATGAACAAATAGATTGCACAATTGCACAGCCTTGCTTTTTAATGAAACAGGACTAAATTTAGTATTTTAATAAATCACATATTAATACCCTGGAACACAGGAAATCCAGTCTGACAAGAATATGTACTCCTGAGCTACAGATACAACCACATTGTACAGTATATTATTAAAGGAGTAGAAACATACAATCATGGAATGTTTGGGGTTGGAAGGGACCTTTGAGACCATCTAGTTCCACCCCCCTGACACGAGACCAGGTTGCTCAGAGTCCCATCCAGCCTGGCCTTGACCACTTCTGCGATGGGACATCCACAGCCTCTCTGAGCAGCTGTTTCCAGTGCCTCACCACACTTACAGTAAGAAATGTCTTCCTAGTATCTAATCTAAACATCTCCTCCTTGAGCTTGAGGCCCTTATCCCTTGTTCTGTCACTAAATGCCCTTGTGAAGGCAAATGATAAACAGGAAGGATTTTTTAAAAATCCAAACCAATTTATAGAGACAAAGCATTTTACTTCAAATTGCACAACTTCTAAATATGTATGTGGCAGTATAAATCATGGGTTTAATATTTATTCAGATGCTGTGAGAGCATATTCATAAGCTGAAGAATCAAATTTGCCAGTGTTACCATAAATCCATGCTATCCATGTTCTTTATTAGTCTGTAATGTAATCAGTCTTCCAGTACATTTTTACAATGAATGCTGCTTACCTCTTATGTCCCAGTCCATGTGTGTGATATAGCTGGAGGCTCCCTTGCAGATTCCTACTCTTTTACTGCTCATTACATTGTAAATATCTACAAAGTTGTCACAGGATGCCACAGCTAAGTACTTTCCAGCCCCTAAAACACATCAGTACAAACATAAAATATTTTCAAAAAATTTTAGTGCTCTGCGTATCAAACACAAGTAAATTCTGGAATTTAGCTAGATGCAACTTTGAATTCTTTAACATCAGCTTGCTAATTTATACATATTCTCCAACAAACTGACTTTCATATCACATAATCAGCATGAAACTTACAACTATAATATCATTACATTTTCAAACAATAAAAACCATTTGCTGAAGTTTTAAGCACTTATGGTATTCAGAGAATGATAAAGCTCAGGGAATCAGAAAGTAATGTTGCAGGGGAATTGGTATCAGTAATTTGCATCAAATTTTTCCAACAGATGAGTATTTTAGCTAAAGTAGGCTGTGCATTTTGAGTACCTAAAATATGAGCTTTAATGTTGGAAAAAAGACCTAGCCTCACTGAGAGTGCTAAGGGGGTAAAAATAAAAAAAAAAAAAATTGCCAGAAGTTTCTGGCACATCAGTTTCAAGTATTCTTATTATATAAGAGTAACATCAGTGATGTGCCAAACTTTTGCAGGTCATAAAGAGTAACCCTAGGGAGCTGCTGGATATTCACAATTTCAAACTGGCTGTTGTATTCTGTAGGTTACTATAGGCAAACATATTACAATAATCTCATCCTCAAACAAGCAACACAGGATATCCCACCACGGTCTTTCAAAATGTTAGTATTACTTTTATTGACCTATTTTTTACATCTAAAAGTACTACAAATCTTCACTACTTTTATCTCTTAAATGTAATAAGTCTTACTTGAACAACCTTGGTATTAAAATTTTCTTTTAAAAAAGAAATCACTCACCAGGAGAAAATCTGATTTCTGAAATAACATCTTTCCTGTGCTGGAAAGAGACCAAATCCTCCAGGGTATCTGCATTAACTATCAAAAAACTTCCATCATTGAGACCAACAGCTAATGCTTTTCCATCAGGAGAAAAGCAGCAACATCTGCCTCCTATGAGAAATAAAGAAATTGCATTCAGATACATTTACAGTGCATTATCCTTCTTTCAGATCTATTCCATTAGTAAAGGAAAGCTAGTCTCATCCTAGAAAACTTCCAAGGAAGTTTTCCAGATGCTGCCAAAATAATTTCCAAGATGTGACAGCATCTTGGTGCATGGGCCCAGAATCTTAGAATTTGCATATTAATTGATATCTGTTCTACATTAGTAATAGAGATTAATCACTATTGTCTGTATATTTCTAACTTAATCTCCTTCTTTGTATCTGGTGCTGCCTGTTTGTTACCCTTTGCTCTGATAAGGAGAACACAGCTGGCAAATATCCTCTGGATTCACAGAATTCAGTCATTTGCTATCACAAACAATAAGACACTAAGTCATAGAATCCCCCCAATAAACATGCCAGTGTTGTTTGAAAAACAGTCTAATTTCCAATTTAAATTTATGTATGGTCAACTTATATTGATTTATTTTCACGCCAGAATTTTCTGTTAACATACATATATTTTACCCTACTATTTGTTCCTCTGATTAGTCTGTAGACAGCAATCCTCTACTTAGATGGCTTCACCACAAGGCTTTGCATTCATTATCCTGTAGTTCCTTTCTCCATTCTCAACTTTTAGTTTAATTGTATTCAGCTGAACACAGATGAGACATGCACACCAAATATATCCTGATTTTTGTCTTGTAATTTACATGAATACTTCACTATGTCTTGGGGAAAATACCTCACTATCACATGTAATTGTCACCCTGCATTCAACAACATCCTGAGCCTTCTGCTCTTTAAGTTACTCCTGACCTACACAGACATTTTTCTCACAGTCACTGGATCTGCCTTTTATCATTAACAAGTATTATTCCAATTCCATTACTCAGTCTGCAGAAGTATATATCTTGTTCTGTACAGTACACAGGATCTTTTTAAGATTGCCAAAGCATCTCAAAATGTCTCATCAACAAATAGTCATCAGAGACTCTTTTTGCCAAAAGTACTCATAAACATATTAAAAAATATTGGCTTTAAGACTTGAGCAGAGTTCACCAACTAGAAACTCTTGTTTAATCCCTGCTTATGTGAGCTTGTAACTCTTCTACATTTACTTTGTCAATCTAAATCATCTTCAATTAAGCTTCCCATTATGTTTGAATCAAACTGCATTGCTGAATGCCAAATTCAGATAAAGCCTACTGTATTCCTTTATCTAGCAAAGCATACATAGAATTAGAAGCTTGTCAGGGCCAGTCTCATCTAATCCTGAAAAAATCACTTTATATGATGTCACATGAAACAGATTTTCCATCTGTCAAAAGAGAATTTATTTATATCCTCAACAAGTAAAAATTTTACAATTTCTCTTTTTTTTGACATTCCAGATCCTTCAAACATTCACAAAGAAAATGACAACATTTCTTCTAAGATTTCTTCCAAAAATTTCTAGAGTCAAAGTCTCAAAAATGTCTTGCAATATTATAAGCAACATAGCATTTGTACAACTGACTCAACTTTTATTGTTAATTCACTGACTTAAATAAGTTACAATTGCAAATAATCTTCAGAACAGCACTACACAGAACTTTTTGTGCAGATTCATTAGCTTAAGGGCTACATAACTCCTGAACATAGCATAAATAAAATAATTTGAGCAAAGAAAGGAATTTATTCTGCTTTCAAGTCCTGCTTTCAAAGGATTCATAAAGCTTGTAAATGTCAATTGCATCAGTAAATATTTTTTCATACTAAGCATCTTACCCTTTTTCAATTTGCGAACAGCTAACATACAATGGCTAGGAGATAAATCCCATATTCTTAAGGTTTTGTCATCACTTACAGTGGCACATATAGGTAAGTGAGGATGAGTAGCTAGACCCCAAACTTCCCCCTCCATGTGACCCTGAAAAAACACAATGAATTGGATTTCTTTTTATTTTAAATTGAAATATGAAATAATACATTTATGAAAGTAAAAAAAAATTTAAAAAGAGAGAGAGAGAAAGAATATGCATTATTTACAGGATAATAAATATCTGAATAAAAACACAGAATGCATCTGCTGCTTCTGCGAAATTAAAGTAATTTGTAGGACAGAAAGCTTTGCAAAATAATCCTCACACAGGTGTATGCCAGTGGCATGGGCAGTGGGACGGAGCGCACCCTCAGCACGTGTGCAGGTGGCACTGAGTGGTGCCCACAGGCTGCAGGGAGGCATCCACAGGGACAGAGCAGGTGCACCCATCATCAGGTGAACATCAGCCAGGCCAAGTTCAAGATCCTGCATGTGGGTCAGAGCAATCCCAAGCACAAACACAGGCTGGGCAGAGAATGGACTTAGAGCAGCCCTGATGAGAACTTTGAGGATTTGGTGGACAACAAACTGGACATGGCACTGTGCACCAGCAACCCAGAAAGCAAACTGGGCTGCATCAAAAGAAATGTGAGCAGCAGCTCAAGGGAGGTGATTCTGCCCTTCTATTCCACTCTGGTCAGACTCCAGCACTGTGTCTGTCTCTGGGGTCCTCAGCACAGGAGAACATGGATCTGTTGGAATGGGTCCAGAAGAGGGCCACAGAAAGGGACAAAGGGCTGGAGCACCTCTCCTCTGAAGGAAATCAGGCTGAGAGAGGAGGGGGTGCTCAGTCCAGAGAAGAGAAGGCTTCAGGGAGGTATTGTTGCAGCCTCTTAAAGGGGGCTTATGAGAAATACAGGAACACTTTTTAGTAAGGCTTATAGTGACAGGACAAGGGGTAATGGGTTTAAAGTAGAAGACGGTAGATACAGACTAGATAGAAGAAACAATTTTTTTATGACAAGGGCAGTAAAACTGGGACAGCTTGCCCAGAGATGTTGCAGATGCCCCATTCCCAGAAACATCCAAGGTCAGACTGGATGGGGCTCTGAACAATCTGATCTGTTTGAAGATGTACTTACTGCAGGGAGTTTGGACAAGATGACCTTTAAAGGTCCCTTCCAACACAAACTATTCTGTGAACTAGGGTTTTTTTCTTTACCTTAGGTTCTGATATTTTCTTTTAAAAATTACAGTTCTTTATGTATTGCACTGGCCACTCAGAAAGGAGAGAGTCCAGAGATTTTACTTAAATATGAAAGAAAATACTATGTCGATGCAATGTAAAAATCTGTTTAGTAGTCAAACTTAAAACAATGCAGTTGCTTGGTATGGCAAAATTTTTTACATAATTACAAGTAAAATCTCAAAACAAATGACAACTTTTATTTAGCACTCAAGGGAAGTTAATAAGGAATTTGGAGGAGGATCCACTATTTCAGACACTTCTTATTTTTTTCAAAACAGATCTATGATCTTGGTCTGTTTGGAAGGGTAAACTCATTGACCAAACTAGTAATGAAATTCTATATCCTATCTTGCTCATTGAGTCATAATGGTCTACTCTAACTAAAAGTGATAGTAACTCACTAACTTCATTAGTAGTTAAAGTGCTTCTTATTGCACAAGTCTCCACTTGAGAAATAAAATCATGTTAGTGGTGTGACATATTTGACTGCTATTTAACACATACCTGAACCAGCAGAGTTATTGGTCCACTTTTATCCACCTCCAATATTTCACCATTCTTTGTGCCCACTAGAATATGACCATGTCCTAACGATATGGCACGTATAGAAGGATTATCTTCTAAGAGGAGACCTAGAAGATGAAAATGTTAGAAGACAGGATTCTCAAATATGCCTTAAAGAGGATTTTTCACACTTTGGCACATTACAGTCTCACTGTAGAAAAATCTACTCTCTTACTGTAGAAAACATTCCTGCACGACACAACATGTCTGGATTCATTTGTGAGGATTCAGCAATACATCAAGAAGTTCAATAGGCCTGCATGTTAGTGATCAACTATAACACTATACTGCTACCAATTATGGTACCTCCAATTCTAGCTTTTTGTAAACAAGCTATGAGAACGAGACACTCTGGAGTACAATGTTTTCATTAAAGAGTATTTACATCCATCATGTTTGAAAACCAAATCATGTACTTTAGAACACAGCAAACATAATTTTAAGGAAAAGGGATGGAAGAGAAAAAACTATCCAGAATTAAAATACAGGGAATTGTAAATTAGCATTAAGATCAAGAATAAGTGGTAGAAAAAGGAAAAATAGGAATGAAAATGTTCTCTAATTGTTTCAAAAGACATATGCATTTATGGAAAATTAACTACTAATACCTTACAAAACTAACCACAATTCTGAATTCCTTCCCTTCTCCAAAACAAAAAAAGATCAGGTAAGATACTTCATGATCAGAAATAAAAGAGGATTTTTGCTTGCCACTTTAATAAAAACAAAACAAACCAAGAAAACACCTGGATGATAAGAAACTTACAGCTAGATCAACTAATTTGGGCTGATTGTAAACTAAATATTATGACCTGCACCCACCACATGTGCAAACAGACCCTACAACACACAACTCCAGCTCCAATAGAAAAATTACTTACTAAAAACCAATAAAGCTTAAAAAAATTACTTTAGTATTCATTATGTCAAATGTGGATTCCCTCTTACTGTGGAAAGCAATTTCACAAAGATTTCTAAAGAAGGTACTTTAAAAATAGAACAAAACATAGGATAAAGTCTGTGTTACCTTTGGATCCAGGAGCCAGAGCAGCCCTTTTGATGGCATAGGTTTTGAGACAGCGTTCAAAGGTATCGTCCCAGAGAGCCACCACCCCATCCTTTCCTCCAGTGACAAATCCCTGGAAAAGAAATAAAGATCACTAGTTATAACTGATTATTATATTTCCTTAACTCTTCACTGATTTCTGCCAATACTGAAAATGGACTATATACAACACTGTAATGCACAGAGCTACAGATGTTAGAGATGAAAAGAACAGGAGCAACAGAATGAGTGATTTCTCCTCCTGATGAAGGCAGCACAGATTTAGAAGTTCTAACTTAAATGCTTCTAACATTCTAGAAAAATAAGAACCAACATATTATAGTGTTTTTCCTTGATGTTTAGCCTCCATATCCCTTTGGCATTTCTTCTCATTACTCAAAACAAGACTTAGTACTGCAAAAATTTGATTAGGGCTTATATTTTTTAAATATATGTGCATTTGTGCCATTCTGTCATTAAAAATTATATACAGGTATTTAAAGAAGCAACAGGTATGGTTAATACTGAAATCATTAGTTCTTTCCCTTGGAGCACTCAGTTCTTGTAGTACAAATAACACATGTTGTCCAATGCTACTTTTCCAAAGTGCATATTGGGAGGTGGAGTGACTTGGTCTAACACAGCAAAACACCAACATATACATAACATTAAAGACAAAAACAATCTAACTGGAACACTCATGTTTAAAGGCTTTCCTGAGCTAAAAAGAAGCCAAGAATCTGGAGAAAGTACTTAATGATTTACAGACTGAATTTATCTATTGGTAGACAGTAATTACACTACAAAATAGTACAAGTATGATCTTCCTCTCTCACAAGCTCACATATTCCATTGAACATACTGATGCTTAAATCAATTCCTGTTATTTCTTTAGTAAGAGCTTATGAGAATTACTGAATGTCACTGACCACAAGGGTTTGAGAAACAGCATGCTACATAACAAGAATAAGAGACTGCATAAACACTATTTTGCACTAATGCATAAAACACTACTTTGAATCTGGACCCACAAGACTTTTTTGTAATGAAAATAAGGACATGGATTCCTGAGTCTGGGAAAGGTTTGGCTTTATCATAGACTTTTTTTGTCCAGACATAAAAAAAGCAATGAGCAGTTTATTTACTTTTTCCAATGCGTGCATGCTGAACACAGGACCATCATGTGCTTTGACAGTTTTTATGAGAAACACATCTCTCCAAATACACACATCCCCCGTGGAGGTTCCAGAGAACGCCATCTCTTCCGTCCAGCCATACACTGCACACATCATTGTGTCAGTTCTTCCCAATGCACCTATGCAGCCCTTTCTCCCAATTAGTCCTCCTCCTGGTTCAGACCAAAAACAAGTCATTAGACATCTGCTTGGAACTATAGTACAAGAACTATATAACCATACCCAGAACAACAAGTCCTTTTCTTTTAGTCCACACATGCTCCCCAAAAAAATGAGTTTGAGAAGAGATCTCACAAAATAAATTTTATTATCTGTCAACTTTCACTACAATGAAAACCAAAACCAGCCAACCAACAAAACAAAAACCCAAAAGACCCAACCTTACTTTTAACTTAGCTACTTTTTTTTCTTCAAAATAATAATCTCCAAGATTTTATCATAGTTAAGATTTCTTTCTAAAGACTTTTTAGTAGCTCTTTTAGTAAATATTCTGAGACACTTTTTTCTTTATATAGATAGCATGCTCAATTGTGGAAATTAATAATTTACATAGACATCAACACCTCGCTCTCAGGCCATCTTGGTTAATTTCTGTTGGAGCTAGAACTGAGAAAAACAGTGTATTTTTTTCCACCACACAGTTTTCTCTACACAATTAATCTTTATCAGGACTCATGTGAGTTCAAGTACATAAATTCAGCTTGAATAATTAGAACGTTCTTAGCAGATAAACTGGTCTTCTGTAGCACATGTGTCTTTATATACGAATTGAGGTGTGAAACAATCACATTCAGGCAAATATCAGGGAATGGGTTTTTCACAGTTCAAAAATTCTCAAGCAGAATTAACCTTGGTTTTTAATTCTCAAGATCAATAGAGGTATCTAGACAAAGAACTCTCAACTGACAGATGTGTCCTCTTCAAGTAATTTGTCTGAATTTTGTATGTGAATTTTTTATAACCTTAATATTATTTATATCTTAATATTATTTATGCTTTTTTACAGCATATGTGCTGTAAAGATTCTTCTTCCAAAAACTGTTCTATGATTTTAGAGCAGCACCGTAAAATTTTCATATTATTACTAGATATAAAAACAGACAGTAGAAAATGGAGAGTCTTTTCTTCTTATGTAGCTCTAGCTCCATGGCAGATTGATCTTAGAAAGAATTTCCACTACTGCCATAATACCAATTAACATTATTACTGCTAGGGCAACACTAACTAAGAGGCAGACAAAGAAAACACTTGCATTTCATGCATGAAAAATACAGTAAGAGATGCAATAGTTATACTGTCAGTAACAGAATATGCTCTAATTCTGAAAAGTGTTCTTACCTGCTCTCCGCCAGAATTTCATGTGTTTAATTCCAACTGTAATCAATTTATCAGGCATATAAGGATTAATCTTAACAACAAAAATCTTATCTTTGCTTCCCCTGAAATGCAAAGCAAAATAATTCAAATACAAGTGTAATTCTTAATATTTTTAAATAGGGTTGCGAGAGGTTTTTTTGTTTATTTTTATGTATACCTGCTTTATCTTGCTAACATTTACTTTCAAATCAGTACTAACAGTTAATAATGAGGAAGGAAAAAACTAAAGAAGCAACATACTGAGTCCTGTTCTATTTTCATTACTTTCAGTTTCCAAGGCAGGTTAGTAATTATGTTACCTCAAAGAGGCACAAGAAGGCATTTTCTTTGCAGAAGAAAACGTACTTTCATTAAGTTTGGGTATATGGCATTTAGATCTTTGACAGCTCATAATGACACTTAAAGGAGTAAAGTAAATAATCTTATTTGAAGTTTGCTTATCTTGAAAACAAACTGCCATTGTCATTCACCATTTAGCTGATATTTCTGGTTTTGTTAGAAAAAAATTATGCTGCTATTACATCTTCAATGGAAATTACAGTTGGTTCTAAAAACATTAAAACTTCTTGTGTTTTAGATTTCTTACTATTCTTCTATAAAACTAATGCTTCGCTTCAGTCCTACAGTTTGAAAAACCAGCTTTCAACAATGTTTGCCATCTATGCAAAGAAATCCTTATAAACTGTTTTTCTTTACTTAAAATGCAGAAGAGCCCCCAATCCCTAATTTTTGCTCCTTGTTCAAAAGTGGCAATAATCTTTTATTTTCTGTCCTTTCACACCACTAGATGAACTAATGGCTGAATGCATGAAACAGTTTCTTTCCAAACTCACAGTCATCTTCAAAGTAGATACTGATCTCAAAAATTCCAATAAATCCCTTTGATTTGTGGGTGGGGGAAATTAAAAAAAAAATAGGTGAAAACCAGATAAATGTCTTCAGAGAAGCCAAGGTAACTGGCTTCTGACAAGCAACTGGGAATGGAGTACCCTTCTTTATCTACATGATCTATTCAGAATTTTTGTTCCTTAGTGGATAAGAAATTCAACATGTGTTTAAAAATGAAATGAGATTCAATTAAATTAAAGAGCAAGAATGGATGAAAGGGAAGCTGACACTTTTCAAATTATACTGCAGAGAGTAATAAATCTGTTTAAAATCTACCTAGAACAATGTTTAGAGTATAAGCACTGAATCCAGACAGAATGGGACAAAACCCACTTACACTACTGCTCTATTTAAAGCAATAGATCCTTAGGGGGGAAAAAAATGTCAAAGGTTTAAATAACATTACTCAAAATTAGAAATAGGATTCTATCTTGTAGATTAAAACAACTTAATAAACATATATTAAATAATCTGTGCAGACACAAAGAAACTTTTGAAATATTTAACCTTTGTATGTTACTTAGACCATTTTCCTGTTCAAAGCAGAGCTGACTTCAAAGTTAGATCAGTCTGGTCAGGACTCAGAAAGGAAAAGGAAAGAAGACTGAAGAAAAAAGAACTGTTCAAAACAACTGCAAATCACTATTCCCAGAAAGGTGTGACTTCTGATGAAAAAAATCTGAATATACCATATATCCCCATCTTTAGGAGGGCAAACACAAGTGCATGGAGTTTTAAAGAAAATATTACAGAACACAGCAGTGCCTTCTGTGCCATCTTTCTTCACCAGTTGAGCAGTCACTGCAGTAGTTCTTGTTGACTATCAGACCTTCATTTACTTCTTCAACAGAAAGTTTTTAACATGACATAAATGTTATTGTCTGCATCACTCATGTAACAAAAAATGCTGATTTATTAGAGAACTCTTATTCTTTAATTAATATATTCTTCTTACTGACATCTGACAGTAAATCTAGGAATAGATTTTAAAACATAGTTAAAGTCCTACCTTACTGCTGAAAGCTTTTCTCCTTTCTTCCAATCCCAGAGTACAATAGTGTGATTATCATCTATTCCAACAGAAGCCAATCGTTTCCCATCCGCTAGAATAATACATTTATTATTAAGAGAGTAGATGGATAACTATGTTGCAATAATAAGAAACCATATTAAAAATATTATAACTTCACAAATATAATAAGAATTTACAAACAAGCAAATAAGCACATGATGTTTTTAGAGGCATATTTTTCATCCATTTGCTTTTAAACTTGGATGAAGTGTAGCACTTTAAAATATCCTGTCTCAAATTTGAACTTAGATGCTCTCTGTTCATATTAAATCCCTTGTTCAGTTAGCTGCTGACATAGCTGCACAAAAACATTCACTTCAGGTTGTTCTTGTGAAAATTTTATGTTCATTCGGAAAATCTCTGTTTATTTCTGAACAGGAAAGTACTGAAGCCATACCATGAAATTCTAGAAATGCCCTTAAACTTAGCAGTACTATGAAGTCTTGGAAAAGTTTTGACATATATTCCAAATTAACCTTCAATAAAAAAACTGTGCTCTCTCAAGATGACTTTTTGACATGTATCTATTTTTGGAATTGCTATATATCCATACCAGAATTTGAGAAATGAGATTCATATATTGAAAAAGGAGAAACCAAAGTAAGAGACATCAAAAACCTCAAACCATTCATCTTTGTGATTACACATCGTCATTGTGAGTTCAGAGATTTTATTCAGGAAATCCAAACAATTAAGGAATGAATAGAAGCTAGTGGAGCAGAGGAAATTTAATATTGGTACAGTAATTCAATGTAGGGGGTGCAAAAATCTCAAGGGATTTAACTGATAGCCTTATGTTATAGTTTAAGGTGGAGAGAGAGCCTGTGTCTCTGACCAGAACTCCCTGACTGGACTTCCTGAATCTATCAGTGTGCTACCAACATGGCTTTCAGGATTTCATCTAAAAAAGTAAAAATTGCACACCAGATCAATTTGCTCAGAAAAGCTTCTTACACAGTTGTAAAGCAGACACAACACTCCAGATCTCTGCACCTGCCTCGTACAACCAAAAGAAATTCGGAATTGCTCAGCTGTTAAAGAGGACAGTAGCTGTTCTTGCATTTTCCATGTGCAAGCCTCCAAAGAGGTCTTTCCAATGAATGTTTATTATAAGACAGTGCCTCTCATTTGACATTGAACAATGGAGAATACTTTTAATACAAAATTTGCAGTGTAAAGGAACCCCCACTTTCTCGGTAGAACTGGTTATCTTGTATTTTCACATAGCAAAGGAAAAGTGTAAATAAATAAATAAATAAATACTTATTACCTGAAAAATCAACAGCACAAACACCATACTGGTGATAGCCCTTTAATACTGAGAGTGGCTTTATTGTTTCTGTATCCCAAATGTGTATTGAGGAATCTCGACCAACCTGAAAGTATACATATTCATAGCCATTTTTTTTTCATTTCTCAGTTATTTTACACAGTTGTTTAAAAAGCATTAAGAATATTTCAAAAAATATTTGAAAAAAAAATTACAGTGATAGAATTTTCCTAGTATTACTGTTGGCTGGCTAGCAGAATATTATTCCTTTTGCTGCTTCCCAAAGACCATTTCCCAGCTGACTAAGGCACATTAATCACAATTAACTAAAGTCCTCCTGTGGGGGGGAGAAAAAAAGCCCTTCATTGATTGCAGTGTAGCATATTTATTCCATCAATCTTTCATCAATCATTCCTTGTCTAAAAATAAAAGGTTATTTTTATTGCTAGTATGTCAGCTTGTCTACGTTTCAGAAATCAAGGTGACTTCTGCTACTCTGGTGTCATTACAAGGCAGATTCTAACTGATACCTGTGGCACTAAAATGCATTAGTGTAGGCAACAAATCTGGTAAGAAATGCAATATAACTTATTCTTTTCAACTATTTACAAAAGCACTATTAGTCAGCACTTAAAAGATTATTTGCCATTCCAAGGGTTGTGCACCACACAGCATAAATAAAAAGGTTGCAAAACCAGAACAAAACTCTCCTGCATTTAAGGCTCAGAAAAACTAGGATCTATTTCTGGTTTTGTCACAAACCTAACATGAAATATTCATAAAGCTTTTCAGAACATCCACTATCAGGAAGATCTGAACCAGGGTGGTATGAGGAATTTGAATACTGCATTATCTAGTTTCTTCATGTAGCATAGTATACAACAACATGCAATGTGTATGTATAAAACAGTATATAATGCAGTGTATCTTTCTGCTGATAGCATACATTATTGTAAATTCAGGGACATTTTTATTCATAGCCTTTACTACTCCAAAATTGAATCAACCCAATTCTTATATTTAGGGCTAATTTCTTAACTGACCTACAGAGTTACGTTAATCTCAACATTTTTATAGAAATCAAGAGCATAATAAACGCAAGTTTATTTCTATTAATTCAGTTCATATGTTTTCCAATTTATTATACAATAACGAGCAAAAATGATAACAATTATAAGCATGAATAAAAAACCATGAAACATCAGCTCAAACCTTCAAGTCCTAGTGCACAAGTATTTACCACAAGATTTGGCTGTTTGGAAACATGAGTGAAAATAATTTATCTAAAATAACTGTATGGCAAAAGATAAAATTAACTATTATTAGTATTATAAAATGAACTCGAGCAACATACATCCCTTTGTTGTATGCATAATCAGTACACAGTTTGTGTAAAGGTGATAATGAAAAACATAATGTATTAAAATGGGATGCCAGACTGTAACAACAACTGCTCACTTCATACTGCAAAACAGTAAATGAATGCAATGCTAATACAGCTAACTTCATAAACAAGATGTTAAAAAAATATATTTTATCTGCACATTTCCTCCACCTGTTATCAAGAAGCTGCAACATAATGCTGAATAAAAAAAATATTACTCTATTCTTAATGATGTTCAGAAAAACTATGGAGTATATACTCTTACCATAATATAAATACCTGTAAAAACCACTTCTGGGTCAGTTTTTTACAACTATTCCATCTACAACAGAAATGCAGTCCTTCATCTGAATAAATGTAGCCTGGACGCTCTTGTCCCAAGACCTTTCTAAATTCAGTAGTAACAACTTCAGATTGTTATTGCAGATAAACATGAATCCTACCTGGCCAGTTGCCACGTAGTCCTTTAAGGGATGGATAGCAAGGCAAAGGATGTCATCATCGTGACCCAGATAGAAGCGCTGCGTGTTCTGCTGGCGGTTGTACACCACTCCCACTGCCGCCACGTGGTACACGATTTCACCCGTCTGCGTGTAAAAGAGATTGCTTCGGCAGTCGTAGCCTCTGTAACTAAGTCAACAAAAGAGGTTTGTTCACCAAAGCCATAAACATGTACCCTGAAACTGAGATAAAGCTATGCTGATGAATTTTGTGCGTGTAAAACTCACGTTACTTACCAATTATAATTTTTAAATTATGACTATACTTTCTCATTCTTAAAGGAACATCAATTTATCCATCTAATTTACTACTCAGACATCAGTACTACGAGCAATAGTTTAAGTGGCACTTAATTGTTACTTTCCACAGCTAGTTTACAAGAGAAAGCAATAGCTAGTCATTTTTTCACATGGAGAAGTTGGGCATGCAACATGTAGTTAAGTAAAGTAGAAAATGTCTAAAGTATTATTTTTGGCTATTTCCTACTGCTCAAAAATCAGGAAGCAAAACATGACAGTTTCTGGAAACTTGATAACATAAAATAAATGCTTTTTTTAATATATAGAACAGTTTCTTTTTTTTGAAGGAAAACATGTCTGCTTTCTTAGTGATACAGGAACTGGCATGAGTAGGCCAACTCACAGCTAAGGTCTGTATACACTATCTCAGCACACTCAGTTCTTCCTAGATGTGATTAAGATCATGAAGTTACATCCATCCTTCCTTATGTACACAGTGCAACCATAGGCACTGGGGAAGTAATGAATCTGTAAGGCAGCTGACCAACTTCAGTTTAAAGAATATTCCAAACACCATGAATCCATGTTTGTAAACACTAGATCTGTGCAACAACAGAGCACATACTTGGAACAGATTTTAATATGATGTATTTCAGTTGGCTCACCTACATTACACACAATGGTATTTAATGTCATTTTATGTGATTAGAGAAAAATTACTAAGGTCACCACACAAAGTTCTTAAACAGATCAGCAGGTAGTCCAGGTCCACTGCGCCCAGAAGAAGAATATTGTATTTCATGAACCTGTATCTCAAACTTTTGGAAGATGATGAAATTCCTCCCTGCCCAGTTCTAACCTGTCCAGGTCCCTCCAGATGGCAGCACAGCCATTGGGTCTGCCAGCCTCTCTTCCCAGCTTTGTACTATCTGCCATACTGTGAAGTCCAAAGCTAGGTCTCTCACAAAAAAAAGAGAAGTGAACTTCTTAAACCAGCAAAAATTGTGATAGCACAGAAATAAAACTTTTAAATAAGGCTCCCTTCAGCTCACTGTTTAGATTGGTGCTCTCAGGCAGATTCTTAATTTCAGATTTGGTCCCAGTCCAGCAACTTTTCAGTGTCTCCTGAGTTACTGTTCCTTCAAGGTCTCTAGCTATGTCTGCTCCCTGCTCTTCTCTAAGTGACCAACAATTTAGACTCACAGTACAAATGCAGGCTCTTCAGTCCTGTTTTGCTGTCCCTCCCCCTGCATCCCTCACTAACAGCCTTCCTCTGCAGCAGCATGTGCAGATGTCTGGAAGCTGATTTCTGCCTAAACCAGAGTGCTGTCTGCTTGCAGCCTTCTCAGAGGTACAGCCACTAGGTTTTTAAGGAACAGAATATACAATGACCTACAGTAACTATGAAGAAAGGAAACAAAAATAACCTATCACAGTATGTGGTACATACAAATGGTGAACATCACCATGTTAAGTATATGACAACACTCAGTGAGGGGTAGGGATTATAAAGGCAGGCACAGTGCCAAAGAAGATACCTGAACCTATTGCTGCTCAGACATCATTTTCCTGTGCTTCACTCTGCACTGTACTCTGCTAAACACACTGGATTTTCTTTGCAAGCACAAAGTAATTAAAAAAAAAGCCAAATATTCACTCTAAAGGAGAATATTAAAAACACAAACAAAAAACAATGTCTGTGAAAATACACATGCTGAAAGAAATACTGGACATTGAGGAATTTCTTGTAAGTTTAGCAGTCACCTACAAAAGGTGTAAAGACAGCAAAAGGGCTTCAGGTCCTCCTACACACAACCCAGAAACTCAGAATTTTCCCAGATCATCAGAACAATTGCCTATATACCCTTAATTAAACCTAGTGAAACTGAGTACATTAATGCCATGTATCACAGGACTGCTCAAAATATCCAAAATGTATCTAGGATGCAGAAATCTAGTTCTTATTACTCATAACTTCTTGTGACAGAAGTTAATTTTAGTTAATTTCCTCTTATTATTACAAAAATTAGTACAATCAATTGTTTACAATTAAAATACAACATATTTTGCCAAAATATCAAGCAGTGCCAACAAAGACTCTTTGTCACCAAATTAAATACAGACTTTTGTCTTTCCCACATGCCAGTTTAATAACTCTTGACAATACAGGTACTTTTCACCAGAGGTAAAGTGACGGGCCTAGGTTAAACAGCAATGAAAAGAAGCATATTTCAATGCAGATAATTCCCTAAGAATTACACTGTTCCAAAATTTAGAACTGAGATTACTAGCTGATCTCTGAGAAAGCATTAGGGGAAATAACTTATTCACATGCAGAAAACAAGCCAAAGAAATTTCCAAGGCATCTTTATTAGCAACTATAAATTAAATAATAATGAAAGCAAGTTCTGTATTGTAGTAACTGGATAATATATAACAAGGCACGATAAAAATAAGACTGCATTCTGCCATAGTTAATTATCCAGGACTGATTCAAGTTAATGTGGCAGTAACTATGCGAAGAAGATGTAGCTTCCTAAGTGCTACATAGGGAAAAGAAATTGCCATTACCAAAGTCATGAATAGCAGAGGCTGCATTCAATTTGAGATTAAGACATGTAAACATAGGTGTTCACATGCCTGTTAGATACATTAACTCCTACATTTTAATCTACACTGTTGTAGTCAACAGTCAGTTGAACCTGCAGGGCTGCTCAGCTGGCCAACCATCAGCATTGCATTTTACCTGAGCCAAATTACTCCTTATGCTCCACTGAATCTCCAATGACTGGGATGAAAGTTTAGATATACACATAAAACCATTTCCTTTTGGGCACATCACTGTGAACTCTGTAACCTGAAGCTGAACCCCACCCACATTTGCAAGTTACACATCTATATCCAGCTAACAGGCAACTTCACAAGTACTGCCCTCTCTGGGAAAAGAGACAATGTCCATTGCTTGTCTAATGCTATAAGAGTTTCAAAATTTGCATGTTACTTTTCAAAATATATGTGGGAAGCTTCCACATGTAGTCCAATCCTCCCTCAAAATCTCTACAAGAACCAAATGTCAAAACAAACATGATTGAGAACAGAGTCTTTAATGCAAAGGTGGAGACTTAATTTTTTTTAAAAAATATTCTGCATAGCAGTAGTTTTCTCAAGAGAACCTACTCACAGGCTATTCCCTTCAGATGATATTTTCAGGTATTTGTAGGAATCCATGCAAGATGTTATAAGGCTCTCCTTACAGAGCATTCCCATGTCATCTTGAAACTGCTACCTAATTTGATCTTATGGTAAGGTTACTTTATTGAATATCCTGAAATTCAAACTAGATTGTGCTTAAATACTTTGAATATTGAAAAATAATTCTATGATTCTATGAATATTCAAAAATATTAAAAAAATCATTCTTGTGAAATCAACAGTATAGCTCTGAGAGAATATGACACATGAGTATTAGATGTGCATGCTTATTTCCTGCCAGCAAAAAGAAAGCATAATAAGCATTGAGTCCAAGAAAAAAGTTCTTCTGAATAGTTCATGTTTCTGAACCACCACCCTGCCAAATACATGGCAGAATTAAAATGCAGGAATAATAAAAAAGAGGCCAAATTTGTACACCAATTTAACAAAGTGTTTCTGATCATAACTGAATCAGATGTCTTAGAGAAATACAAAATGGCACCCCTTAATAGAAGTTCTTTCCTCATCCATGTTAGTCAGAAGCTGGCTCACATACTCTGAATTTTATTCTCTTCCAAAACAGGAAGTAACCAGAGGTTTAAGAGATTTCTTACAGGTTATCAAGAGATTTCTAAAAGTTCGTCTTTCACAGCAGTTGACAAATTCAAAACACAACACCAACAAGCTCAAAAACAAAGAAAAGAGAAAGAGCTTCTGATTCCCCTAATTAAAAAAAAAAAAAAAAACACCACTTCTTACATTTTCAAGGAACATCCAAGACATTTCCATTGCAGCTAAAGAAAGATGAAGCAAAGCAGACTTCCTGAATCAGAGAATATGCCTATTACTCACTTGGATGTGGGTCACTTTAAAGTTAACAGCCTGGACATTGAGAAAAATCTGTTGTTCAGCATGGATTCTTCATTAGTTTTCTTGATGCCCATAGGGTAACCAGACAGAACTCAACAGGACATTCTACTTCTGGTCATTCCTGGATATTCTGGTCAAGCTTCACTTCTGTTGTGAAGGAAATAACAATAATACCAAAGATCCAGGGCCCTTGCTTGTGCTACATCTTCTTCAGGATCATTTGGTTTTATTCTTAGACCAACTTTTAAAGACTACATACAGCAGCTACCCACCTTAGTGCATTCTCTATACAGATATAAAAATCTTCAACTGAGAATTCGGGAGCACCAAAAAGAGAAATAAAAAACCCCAGCTCTGTACCAAGCTTCCCAGTTGTCATTATTTCCAAAGCTACTACTCAGACTACGTCTTCTGCAGACAAAATTGCTGATTGGAATATTAACTACTCTTATCCAATTAATTTATTAAGCATTCCATGTGGAGCCCTACTAAAATTGTTTGAGTGCCATTGTAAGTAGATAGTTATCAGTAACTTCTCCCTGCATTTAATTATATCTGAAAATAAGCTGTATTCCTGCAAAAAGGTATCTTTTGAAAGGAAAACTTGACTTGCAACATCATACTTGAATAAAGGCTTTGGTTTTGCTTTATATCAAGAGAATTTATATTTCTGATCATTATTCTAATGTAGTAACATCTAGTACTGGTTTGCTTTAAAACACCACCTCTTTTTTCTGATAAAAATGAAGAATTGTGGGAAACTACTAATTCTAAAGATTAAACTGTAAGATTTCAAAGATGCATCCAAACATCATTCTGCTACTCAAATTAGCACCAAAAAAAGAATAAAGTCATTTTTAACAAACTTACAAGACCTATTAAGAATTACATTTAATTCCTAAATTAAGAAAGGAACTTGTAAATTGTTTCAGACTAGGTACAAACAAGTTTTTTTTTAATAAATCACTGCTAGAAACACCACTTTGTCCAGAACCCAGTCATCTTCAACTACACAAAGTTTCTGTTCTAGCTATCAAAATCATACATCAAAGAGAACTACTGCTTTCCAGATACTGAAAAGTATGGGTGAGATTACTGAATACATTATTTAGCCACTTGTATTCAAGCAATAAGTACCAGCTAAAGCTTGAGTTCAAATTCACTTCAGAATTCATGTGTAGAATTAGTATGCTGGCATCAAAGTATTGTATTTTTATTTATTTAGTGTAAATTTATTTCTACAGATATAAATAAATAGCAAATCATAAAGCAATAAACATGAAAGCCTTTAATTAGATAATTAAATTATAAACACCAGTCTACAAAATCAAACAGTGCTTGTATATTTTAAAGAATGCCAGTTTGCATACCCATGAACAAAATGTAGTCTTATACTGTTCCCTGGGGCTCGCTCACGTCTCTTAGAAGCTGCGCTTTTTCTTTTTTCTTTGCATTGCTCTTTAAGTTGAGGTAGATCTTCTTTGTAAACCTTAAAGAAAAAGCATACTTAAAAATTAAAAAACTTATCAGAAAAACATGTTTCTCAGATCACTCACAAAAATGTTATCCTGACATAACTGAAAAAAACCCTCCCATACCTGTATCTGGTAACTATATAGTGCAACTTGGTAACAAATTTCATTCTAGGATTACATGTAATAATTTTTCTCTCTTTTAATATTAATATTCATTAATATCTTAGTTGTAATTATTAATTAATCATTATATTTTAATAAACTTGTTCTTTTGAATGCATCAGGTAACAAAAATCCTAAATGTTTTCGTCAGTTCCCATGCAGTCTCCCCAGTTTTGAGATTTCAACAGTCTTCATAAATGACCAGCTTAAACCCTAGGAAGGTTCCAACTGCCATTAAAGCTAAAATCTTTACCTGTCGACGATAGGTGATCTGTGTCTCTTGTTCAATTTCAGAGTCCAGCTCTGGAACATCAGACTGATCTGAATCTGATTCATCACTATTAGAATCAACCAGACTCTCTGTCACCAAGAAAACAGAAATAAAAAATTTAGCAACCTAAAATACAAGCCAGAAAGTTTAAACTAACTGCTTAAAGTTTCTGATTTTATAATCAATGATTATATTAGCTACAACATAAAATGCTAGTAATTGACAGGAACAATTCTGCTGCTACATAGGAAATAAGCCATAAATATGATAATTTTGGGTGCTGGAGTGAGTTAGCTTTCATTAACTAAAATAATTTCATGAGCTTTAATGTTAGGAGGAAATGAAAAAGAAGATAGTTAAATAATCAGTATAAAGCAGAAACTAAGACTTGCACTAAATTAACAAAGGGTCCAAAGAGAAACTTATATTAAAGTGAGCCACTAATGCAAGTAGAAATTCTTCAAGTAGGTTAGGGAGGAGGGAAAAAAATTACAGATGGGAAGAAAGAGGAAAAAAATATTGTGACTGCAGAGAAAAAGGGTAGTCACATAAAATTTGACATGTAGGAAGAACCTGTTATTGTTCCCTTCTGCATTTATCACTGACAAGTTCAGCACTGCATTTGTATTTATTTACCTGTTTGCTAAATCCATACTGCATATTCATCTGATCTGAGCAATTAAATGGTGAAACAGCCTATTTTATTGTAACTCTATATTCTCATTTCCCCAGAGGATTCTCTAAATTCCTTGAGGAATTTCTAAGGGAGGCACTCAGTTAACTGTTTTGATTTTAGGAAACACGTGAGAATAATTGTTTAATTAGTCACTAGTGGAAACATGATCTTCATTTTTCCCCAAACACTAAACATCTATATTCTGCTTTTAAAAAAACAATTAAATAACCAGTTATAATACTTAAACTATTATCTAAATACTTCAAAATTTTAAACAAATTAGTATAAAACCATACTTTTTCCAGTGACACCTGAGCATCCAGTTGCTGTCAATTTAGTGAAGGGTGATATATACAGAATTCAGAAATTCGTATCTATCTTTGTACTTTTAAATTTTTTCTTTTCAAAAGAAGGGTTTTTCATACCCTTGCTAGCCTGAACACACAGGTGTGATGGTTTGACCATTGGCCAAATGCCAGCACACAGACTTTTTTCATCTTCACCAATTAATGCCAAAACAGGACAACAGGGTACTGGCAAGCATTAAACAACTCCATCAGGTGCTTCAAGCATCTCCAAAGTTTAAAGAACAACAACTGTGGTAATTGAGCAGACTGACAATTTTGAATATTTATTTCAATACCGTCACCAAAGAACTTTACTTCTCTTTTAGCCTCCCTGCCTTCCACCCTTTTTTTGGTGTTTTTTCAGTTAGTTCCTTACCTTGGGGTGCTATATGAAGAGTGTCCTTCAGCTTGCGGTCAGGGACAAACTTCCACTGAAAGACAGAATGATCAGCTCCCCCAATGGAGACAACCCACTGGTGATCGTGCGACCACCTGACGTTCGTCACGTGAGCAGAATGACCAAGATATTTTTTAAACTTTGCTCCTAGAACAACAATAAAAACATCTCTCAAATTTTGTGAAATAATTTTTTCAGAAGCACCTCAGAAAATAATTTTAAAGAACCCGTAGAAAAAGTAGTGTTTAATAAACATATTCTAATTTCTACTGGTATTTTAATCCATAGCAACAACTTTTTTCAGTTTTCACAAATTTTAATGTGTGTATAAGACACATTTTTTAGTTTAGGTTCCAAAATATAATAACTTAAGTCAAACACAAGAACAGAAGACATATGGTAATGTGTGTGAGGTGTACCAGAGATTTTTAAAATTTTCCTGTATTAATTTTATACTACTTTTTACAAAGTAAAATTATTACTTCTACTTTGAAAAAATACTGTTATTTAAATAATGTATATTTAAGTCTGTGAAAACACCCCCATATACATGCTTGCAGCACGGGTTCCCAATGTACAGTGTCAGTGCTAAGCACCTCTAGCAATTCATCCCCTCCCAGGTTCAGCAGTGGAACTGGTAGCAGTAGTACAGCTACATCCAGTTAACATTTTCATGGCTACATGACCACAACACAGTCATTGGATGAGTTACTGAAATGAAGCTCCTAACAGCATTCCATTATAAGTAATCTTTTTAGATCAGAAAGGCTTCATTGTTTCAGAGCTATTTGAAGAACTTCATTCAACACACCATTCAATTTTAATGCTGGATACAACTGCATGGATAGGTCTTAGGCTGTGTCTTCAGTCTTTATGTACTTAAATGAATGTTTTGGGTGTTGTTTTTAAAGACTAGTATTCCCCCATTTTTTTACACTTTTTGAAAAAAAAGTTATATTATAAACCATTTCATTTTCCAGTCTTCTAACACATTTTTCTTGAAAAGTCACAATTAAAAAATATGCATATAATTGAATTTAAAAGGCACTACCTTTTCTTAGACAGGGGTATCGAAAGAGCTTTACTATTCCATAATCATCAGCCGTAACCATAACTTGACCAATAAAATTCGCATCCACAGAATTTATATCATTTATATCAGAATATTTGGGCCAGATTCCATTAACTTCAAGGCCAGAAACACAGGTCCATGATGCCCACTGAATGCCTTTCAATTCCTCCTTGTTTGTTACTTCTTTTCCACCTAAGCAAAAAATAAAGAGCCATTTCTCAATATTCGCTCATGCAATTTTAAAGAATGCAACATTTTAAAAATCTCTCTAAAATCTGAAACCAAGTAGCACAGAATTAAAAACTGACTTCTGAAATGGTCCTGCTCTAGTATTGCCTATTATGACCAACAGTATCAGTAAGAAGACTTCTCAAGACTATTTAACAGAAGATCATAGTTTTGGCACTTTATAGTTTTTATCATTTCTTGGTATCTGCTTGAGGCTGTGTTATTTTTTAAATTTTTATTAAAAATACATTTAATAATTCTAAGATATAGTTCGTTAAAAATTCTGTTCCTGAATGATTGTAGCAACTTGGATTATTTAGAGCAAGAACTGAAGAACTCATATCTGGCCACTGCAAATTACTAAAACCACCTATTTTGTGCTTGTTCGTCCTTGTTACATTATTTCACACCAGCTCTATCTGTAATGAGATTGATCCAATCCCACAAGGTAAGAGCTGAGGAACTGAGTCAGACCAAAGGCCCATTAAACAGCAGCTGTGTCTTCTGGAAAGGCCAAGGGCTGGAGCAATGCAAGAGCAGTGCAAGCAAAGGTGAAAGCTGTGAGTCAGACTGAACACACACCTGCAGAAGGCAAGCAGGACAACAATCCCCTTCTCAGCCCTTCAATCACTAATCCAGGTAAACTGTGATTAACAATACTGTTTATATCCATAACTAAGTCCTGCAGGTCTAGTGCCAGACAACTGTAAGTTCCCTAATTCATTGTGGAATTTCAAGTGTTACACAACTTGATGATTACTTTAAAATATTTGGGAGATTCCTCTAACTCCACTGGCTTTGATAAACTCTTTTTCGTAAACAAGGTTTCACAATCCCACATTCTAACATACGAAGGAAGTCCAGGTTGAAAGCTGTGTTATAACTTCAAATTGCTCCTCCTGTGTCTGTTACTGTCTAATTAAATTCTCACTATCTTTTCTTACACATCTTCTGCTGCATTCAGTGCTCAGAATCAAAGTTGTGCATAGAATGAATGGGGTGCTTCAGCAGAGCATCATAAAAACCTCCAAGAATCTGTGAATAATGTACAGTGCAAAGCATAAATCTTTATAAATCTGTATAAGAATGAAGGGACAATATAAAAAGTAGTGCTAACACACAGCTAAACAAATAAAAATACTACAAAGATGAGTGGGAAGAATACAGAATACTATGTAAAGAGTGTATGGAACAGACAGAAGTCAAGCCTTGGGATAAATACTGATGTTGACTACTTCAATTTTAAGCTTTAAGATAGCACTATGTGTGTATGTCCTCTACAGAGGGAACTACCTTAACAGAAATTATTTCAAAACTGTGGGACATTTCAGTCAAGTTTTCAGGAAAATGTCTTGAAAACAATTCCAATAATGGGGTTATCACAAAGTTCCTCACAGTAAAAGCTCTTTTAAGTTGAATTCCTCAGTCTGCTGCATAGTTTTAGACTTCTGAGCTGCAACATACTGATTATTCCACATATTTTAATTATCATTCAGTGCAATCAAATGATAATTTGTTTAATATCCAAGCTCTATAAGAACAAAGCTGTTAAGCTATTGCACAATTTAATTTAAATGCTGCATTTTAATTCTTCTAAAAAAGGGGGAGCAAAAATTTATTTTTGAGAAACAAGATAAATTGTAAGGCAGCATCTCTAGTATAAAAATATACATTGGAAAGAAGACTACACATGTAAGGATAAAAGTATTTAAGGACCTTTGCCAGAAAAATGCTGTACTTACTCAAATGTGGCAAATAATCTTATGAACTTACAAAACCCTTCATGTATCCCCCCATGCTTTGAACCAGGATTTACATTTTGGTTTGGTTTGGTTTTTTTTTTTTTTTTTTTTTTACAAAACCACTATATGTTATTTCTGTTATAAGTAACAAATAGCACAAAGGCAACACAGAACTTTACCTGGCATTCTGTAAAAAAGTCTCTTTCCATTGCCATCATTGGTTTGCAAGTATTTACTGTCTGAAGACCAATCCATATGTGTGATGAAGCTTAAGGATCCAATACATTCCCCAACTTTCTTGTATCGCTGAACAACTCCATATATATCCACAGAGCTGTCATTGGAGCCAACAGCTAGGAAATTCCCATCTGGAGAATATTTGAGTTCATGAATAGCTTCTTTCCTGTCTTTGATATGAACAACCTCAGTCATATCTCTGTAGTATGAAAGAAAGCATGTCATAAGTAGAGAAGAGCCTCATCATAATGTCATGTTCCCAGTCTAAAAAACTAAATAAATTGTGAAATTATATACTGAACCTAACTATCCTGTGTGCAAACACAACACTGCTGTTTTTAGAGTTGGTTAGGGCTTCATGGAGAAAAAAAAAAGAAGGAAATGGTGACACAAAAAGGTGCTTCACTGGGCTGAAGGACAGTGAACAAAAGGAACTGTTCAAGCTTGGTCCACAAGAAAATTTCATCAAGTAGATTATGAGATCTTTATTCACCCATGGAAGGAAACTTCACTGACGTGAGACACAAATCTCATTTTCCCTTTGAAACTGTGGGATCACAGCAGCACAAGGCAGTTCTCATTTTGTATGCATGATGTGCTGACAGCAGAATTCCAACACATAGAAGCAACTTACAAAGTAATGAAAATTTATTTCTTAGTAATTCAAGGATAATTCATAAATACAAAACCTAAAGTAAAACATTTCCTAGAACACTGCCACTCTCTGCAAATAGACCGTATACTTTTTCAATGTTATAGAACAACCTGTACATACGTAGCACACATTTAAAAAATCTGAGCACCTTCCACAATTTAAAACAAAAACACAAGTGACAACATGCATGGCCACAAGAGATCAAAATATTAATAAGGTATCTATATTTAAGTTTGGTAACATACCTGACTCGAAGCACAGTGAAAGAGCCATCCTTCATTCCAAGAGCCAGATGGATTCCATCAGTACTAACGGCAGCACAGCGAATGGGCTCCTCCATGTTGCACCGGGCAATCAGAGCGTGGTCTATTAAACTCCAGATTCTGAAATTAAATCATTATTTCTAATGGAAAACGGGTGTGCAGCTTTGTCACAGAGAAGATGAAGCCCTCAGTTTCTGTACAATGCTGGACATGGCAGTGTCCCTATTTTAAAATAATTTTCCACAAGGAAAATCTAAGATGTAAGTGTGAATTATGCATACAGTAAGAAATATTCTTATATTTTAAAAGGCAGGATTCTTATATTGTAAAAGGCTCTCTAATGAGAAAATGTGGGGAGAGATTAATTTTGATTTTCTGAATATAAAAAATTACAGCATATGACAATACATACTTTTAGACCACTCCTGAAAAAATTCCACTATTTTGCTAATCATTTTAGCCAGAAATATTAAACAACAATTAAAGACTTTGATCAGTATAAACAACTTTTCCTACTAAAAAGTCATTATTAATAGATCCTTATAACTAATAATATCAAATATGTGAGTTTTTATAACAAGGTAGACTACATCTATTATTTACAAACATCTCTGAAATTTGAAAGTAATAATAATGCTAATAATTGAATTGTTGATTTGCTTAACTGTGTTGCATTTAAGATATTTAACGAAAAGGCCAACACATTTAACTTATAAGAAAGAAAAGGTGGTTTTGACCAAAAAAAAGATGGAGATGAACATGTAAGAGGGAGTAACTTGGTGGGCTTTCTGAGCATTTATATTCTGTTTACAATGCATGGACTAGGTTTGATGAAATTCACACATTAAAAGTTAATTTGCAGCATTTGGAAAAGTAAATATGGAAGAGTAAAATGTGTAAGTTTTTATCACAGTCTTTTTTCATCGCAAGTTGTTCATGCTTAACATAACTCCTGAAAAGGAAAGACTTAAAGGATTGTCCTTGTCTCTGAGTGCTCAACGTCAGCCCAAACAAATTGTTTTCAAATTTCATATATGGGGTATTTTTTAAAATACATTCCACTGTATTTTATTACTGAAGAGCACTCATTTCCTGCATAACTTAACTCTAGGAGTACATCAATGCCACATTTTGCTAACTTTAAAATGCATACATTTCGATTAGGTTACCCACAAAATGAGTTGATTGTCTAAAACTGTATGCAGTTGAACAAAGAAACAAAATTTAACCTGACTGATCGATCATCGCTTCCAGTCATGGCCAGGGGTTTTGTAGGATGGACAGCCAAAGCCCACAGCTCTCCTTCACAGTGCCCCTGCATTATCAGGAAAGGCTTATTACGCTCATGCACCACAATTTCAAAAATTTCACTATCTTGTGTCCCAACGAGTATATGGTCTCCTCTCCAGCAAACACTCCTTACAGAGAGACCTGTAGAAGAGATTGTTACTGAGAGATACATCCTCAGAACTTGTTAAACAAAGGTAAAGTAGCAAAAAACAAAGCATAAAAGCAAGAAAATGTCAAGAAGTATCCATACTTCTTGACATTTTCTTCTCTTATTCCTGGATCTGCTTCTTTTACTCTTTTTATCTGTTTCATAGATAGTGGCATACTTGTCCTTGGAACACAAACGTTTTCATGACTACTTTTAGGATATATATATATATATATAGGCTATACCAAGAGGTAGGACAGTGCAGTAGCAGAAAATGCAATTAAGAAAATGAGCAAGAGGACAGTTCATAGAGACAATCCTCAGAAGTATATTATTAAAAAAAAAAAAAAAAAAAAAAAAAAAAAAAAGAGTGAAGGGAAAAGAGTCAGAAAACTCATTTTATTCAATGTAAGATTTTTAAAAAATCTGCTTGCTCTGTCATGGGCATTTGACAAGCCAAAAGTTTATGGCAAGAGTCTGTTACATCAGAAGTAAAGGAGGCAGCTGGAGGTGAGAACAAGTCTGAAAGAATGAAACTGAATGAAACAGCTTTCAGCTACATGCATCAGAACTGAGAAGCAGCAGCTGAGTAAATTTAAATTTAAAACAGAGCCACTCTACTGCAGGGCATATTTAAAGTGAAATGTGTTCCATCTTGTTGCAATACTTCACAATCTTGGTGGGAATGCCATGTCAATTACACCACACAAAGACTTCACTTGTAACCAACTATGTATTGACCCCGAGTATCTCATTGCTATCAGACATTCTAGCACATTTTCAAATCCTTGGCAAGGTATTAGAAAATAACAAAAGTGACTGCGGATGAAGAAAACCAAATGCCAACAAAAGCAATATCGCAAGTGACACTAGTGCTTCAGTACATATTTGTATTCTTATCCTAAATCATTACAGCAACAATACCTGAAACACTCTATGTAAAGTTTTAGCATGACTGAACTGTAACTGAAATCCTATTTACAAGTAAGATATTTGCAAGTAAGCAGTGTTCTAAGTTTCACAGAACTTTAGATAACATACAAATAGTTTTAAGGAAAATTTGGGTAACTAGTGAATGAAATTGTTGTACTCCACTGCTATACACTGTAGATCTCACTGCCTCAAGTTCTCTTAAACCATTACTGTTCCTTGTTAAAAACTGCTGTGCTCTAGAAACAATGCACATAAAAAAATCTGTGTCTACATCCTCATCACATGTACTGTTTGTAAAAGTAACAGTGACCTTCATACTAGTGGGCATGACCTATTATATTTCTAGCAAATAGCTCATGGTAATGTACATGAAACAACACTTTGGGTTTTAAAGTCTTTTCTTGTTCAAAACACTGATAAATTTCCTATCTTACTGGTATATTGACAGCAACAAACTTCTCTTTACCTTTATAGCCCTGGTCTGTTTCCCTGAGATCAATCACAGTAATTGGTTTAAAATTTAAGTCCCACAAGCGAACGCAGCCATCCCTGCCACCAGTGGCAAACCCCTCTTCACACGCATTCATGCTGAAAATTCCTGCCTAAAGAGAGAAGAAAGTTACTTTTAACAACATACACAGATTGAAGAAAAACAGTATGCAACCAATACAAGCTTCAAATATCAGAAAGTCGGAAATGGAAACGAACTCACAACAAGCAGAATTAGCAAGTGATAAACAGAAAGTGAATTGCTGCAAGAATGCTTTCCTTCTGATGATCATCATCACGGTGATGCTGCTTCTAATCCCTAGTAAGAGCTTAGTTTTGTATCCTCTTGCCTTAGGACCTGGCCCCACTCTAATAAATGTCAGCATGAAGATTTCCCATGATCTCTATTAGGCTTGCTTTAGATCCTTTGTTACTAGCACTCAACTGCTGTACAACAATGCAAAAAACATCTGGGATTTTTTTTATTTTTTAATCCAAGGAAGATTGATTTAAAATTTAAGTTTAGAAATAAAATTTAAGAAAAACAATGATCATGCTACACCATTAAAAAAATAATATACATTCTTATTTTAAAGGCAAACATCAGGAAACAAAACCTAACCCATTTTCTTCAACTCATTGATGCATGTTTTCTTCAGGATAACAAATAGGCAAAGATGATACATGTAGTATTAAAATAAAGATACTATAGCCACATAGCCACTATATTTGATTTAACATGATATATATCTAAATAGCACACACACTATTGGGTTTTTTAATTACCTACACAACTCACTAGCACTATGTTCAGAAATAACTCACACATTTCAGTAAGCAAAGCTACTGAAAGGGCAACTTTAGCTGATAAGCCTATGAGAAGTTTAAAAAATTGCTCTGTATTTAAGTATGTAATATTCAGCTATGACAAAAGTAAACAAGAGAACATTAGAAACAGTGGAAAATAAAATCTGTCTTTCATTCCTGTCCAAAAGAAAGTAGACCATATGTGTATATGAAATACATATACTATGTATTTTAATATATTAAAATATAATATAATATAATATAAGTCTGAAATTTCAGTTTTGAAAAAAAAGTAACGGTAAAGTTCCAACAGTTCTATAGATAGGGTCTAGATTTTACAGTAATGAAGCACATTAACTGCAAAGATGAAAGCAATCTGCAAAGGAGAGATTGGCTTTTTCAGGAAAAAAAAAAGCTGTACACTCATAGAACAAATTAGGATACAATGTGACTTGTGAGAATTCTGGAGTACTCATGACTATTATCTCCTACCAATATGCTTTTTCTTCTTAAATTACAACTAAGAAAAATATCATAATGGACTGGTCATAATGAAATATGGATTGTGTTTGCTTCTCTAGCATCAGGTAGCAAGGACATAATTATGAATGTTACAAAAAAAGAAATCTCTCAGCTTTCACAAAAAAAAGAAGCCTACTAGAATGTCAAAAGGCAATGAAAACTGAAAGACTTGGGTGACAGAACTCTAATTTTGGGCATGTCATGTCCTTTCTCAACAAAAAGACTTTTATGACAAGCCACAAGTTCAGGAGCAGTATGTGTATAAACAGAAATGTACTGGAATTTTTAAGTCATAAGCAGATTAGAAGGCTAACTCTCATTATCTCTAACATTTTGAAAATCTTCTGTTTCTTTAGGAGCCCAGAGGTTTTTGAAAATACAGCACAAACTGTATTTGTTTTTCTCCATCTGTGTCTATCTGTTTCACTGCATTAACCTTTGCTATTGTGAGCAGAAGTCCTGCGAGGAGCAGCTGAGGGAGCTGGGGGTGTTTAGCCTGGAGAAAAGGAGGCTCAGGGGAGACCCTTTCACTCCCTACAAGTGCCTGATAGGAGCCTGTAGCCAGGTGGGAGTTGGTCTCTTCTTCCAGGTAACAAGTGACAGGATGAGAGGAAATGGCCTCAAGTTGCACCAGAGAAGGTTTAGATTGGATACAAGTAAGAATTTCCTCACTAAAAAGGTTGCCAGGTACTGGAACAGGCTGCCCAGGGAAGTCCTAGAGGGATAATTCCTGGAAGTGTTCAAAAACAGCTGGAATGTGACACTTGTGGGAAGGGTTTAGTGGTGAACACAGCAGCACCAGGTTAACAACTGGACTCTAATCTTGGAGGCCTTTTCCAGCCTTAGTGATTCTGTCATTCTAGGTGCCATGGAATAAATATAAATCTAGAGGAATTTCAGCTCCTTTTGTAGCTCATGCTGAATTCTGTCTAAGTCTTTTAAAACTCTTTTTAGAATGCAATCTTGATAATAGAATTATTTTCTTTTCTCTAATTAACTCCTTCCAAAATCCATTATTTAATTAGTCAGTATTAAAAAAATAATCAGACATTTGGCAATGTGGGAGCTGGCGGAATGCTCTGAAGATAAAATCAAGTGGATCCAGCATTAATCTGTTTTCCATTCCACAGAATATCCTTATCTTGAAAAGGACACAGTGGTTGTCAAGGAGATTTGGCAGATGTGCTTGCTCAATCTCTTGAAATGCAATAGGACACTCTCATTTCTGACACTGGAATAAGAGAACAAGATGAAAACTATAAAAATGCCTCTCAATAATGGGGACTGTAAGTATCTAATGGAAAAAGCTGAGCTTTGCTACATTTCATACAATTGTTAGGCTCACAATTAAAGGGAAAAAGACAAATTCTTTAGTGGGGTAGCCTAGCCAGTAAATCCTCCACTAAATCATTCCTTTTGAAAACTGACAGGATTGTTAATGCAAATCAACTTTGGAGTCTTCGTGCTTCTTTAATCCTTCAGCCTGAAATTGTCATCAACATAATTTGATTCTTGATGTTTAAAAACCCTCTAGCAGTAATGAAAGGCAAACAATTGCACTGACTTTGTTAGATCCAAATGAATGTGAGCCACAAAGACTGTGCTTCTGAATGAAAGTAAAAGGTGCAAATCAAAGACTTCCGTCTTGAGACTTATGAAGCTTGGCATACAGACTGCATTATTCTTTTACAAATTCTTCATTGTGCTTCCTAATGAACCTGAAAATTCTGGAAATAATATCTCAAATCTAGCAACATTTTCTCAGAATGCTGAATATTTCCTGTTTTCCCACATAACCACTGGTATCACATCTGTGTTCCCTCAAATTTGAGGAAAAAAATAGTTGAATGAGAGCAAATAAAAAAAATAAATGCCCAGATCTACCAGAAATTATAGTTGAAAGCTGGAGAAGTACAAGAAGAATTTGACAAAGATGATCCCTTCTGCAAGAATACTTAGCCACTACTTGAATCCAAGAAGTTTCCAATACTGAAGCAGTTTATGGTTTTTTACTGCTGCTGGACCTATCTTGCCCCCAGTGTGCAAAAAGCAAGTGTCAGTTTATCTAAATGTATAAAATCCACCACTCTGACTATGCAATTCCTAAAACACATGATGACTGCAGCTAGCTATAGTTAGGACCAAGCTTGGAAAATCATACGGAAACTTAGGAGCAGCTGATTACTACTGAGCAACACGGAGAACAGAGACACTACACCAACACAAAAACAACTCCAGTGCCTCCTTTTTACTCCCAGGTACACTACAGGACACAGAAATGTAAAGCATCACCCATGCTGGGCACTCACCCTGAGACATTGTCTCTCCCTACACACACTGCACAGGAAGGAAATGGATTGCAAACATTTAAGATAGGTGTCAGTGAGTTTACAGAGCAGAGACACTGCTGTGAAATGTGATCTTCCTGTCTAACAAATAATCCAGAAAACAGTTTAAAAATGTGCATACTACTATAAAAATTTAATGTAGTTGTCCATATGCCTCCCATTGGCTAAAAGAAGTCACAGTTACTTTTGAAACCAATGACTACGCAGCAGGAGAAAATACTGCATGACTTAATGGTCATGGTGTTGGTACATGATACCAGTTTAAAACCATTCATTTAAGTTCATTATATTGTTTCCATCTATATTTAATTAGTATCCAGCACACTGACATAGGCGTGCAATGGTTTTAACAGAGTGCCTGTTATTTAACCTCAAGCTTGTTATTTAACCTCAGTTTCTGACATCAATCCACACAACTTTAATGTGTACCTCTGAAAGACTATCTCAAAATTAATTATTCATCTGCTGAGAAAGCATCTTATGTACATTTACTATGCAAGGCAAAAGCATAGCACACAAGAATCTTCAAAACATACGGTGTTTTAACTAAGCATACAATTTCCTTTTCACATCCAAGTAACATCTTGTATGTATCTTAATAGTCATGGACTACCTTGAATTTAGAACATATAAGGTGGTAAGTGGAAGATTCTATAATCTGTTCTTTGCACTGGTACACAAATGAGACAACTATTAATTTATTTTTTTTTTTATTAGTCAAGGTATTTATTAACTTTCCAGAACCAGATCCATCACAGACAAATAACCTCATGTAGTATTACCATTGCCAGTGAATTTATATATGCTTTCATGTTATTGTTTTCTTTCTCCCCTTTAAAATTTTTATTACTAAGTTTATTATTTTAGGAGGAAAATGTAGCATTGACATTTCCCACTGTTATCCACTGTTCCCTCCACATGAACTCTGTACCTTTACTCCTAAAACCTGCTCATTTCCATCTTTTCCTTTCTTTTCATTCCTACTTCTAATTTAAGTGAACTCCCTAATCCTCTTCCAACTAATTCTCTGGTCACCACAACTTACGTGCTTTCAACCTTTTGTTCCTACTCAAACTGAGACAGAAATCTGCAGGAAACTCTACTTTCCTCTCTGTCAGTATTGCTATAACAGAAAACAGATAATCTGTCTGAATTAAGAATTCTTATTTTGCCTGTTAGTTTTAAAGTTGCTATCTGTTTCCTTGGTTGCTCATACTGGGAGACCATGGCTTATTTTTCACATTGAATTCTTCTTAAAATGAAAATATCTTTTCAGCTAGGGAAACCACAACAAAGAGAACCAACCTTTGAAAAGAACAGGTTTTCTATATTAATGCAGACAATGTCTTAATAATAACTTAATAAATCTGGGGCTGGGCTACTTCTCCACATCACTAGTGTGCTTTAGAAACTGCTTTCCAGTATCTCAGCTGGTTATGCTGCAAGAAAAGAATGGTATTTATGCAAATAATGAGACATCTTCCCTCAAGATTACAGTTTATGTCACACCTGTTGAGGAGTAATGATGCAGGATGATGAACAGATATGCAGGGATGACAATTCCAACACTAGCACACTGAAGAGAAATTTGTATCAATTCCCTGCTATGTGCACACTGTCCCTTCAACAACAGACATAAATCCATAGACCATAAATCTTGTTGTTTGCACTTGCATTTCCTTTGGACAAGAAGGACACAATTTATCATTTATAAAATTAAGCACATTAATTTATTAAATTAAGTAGCCATAAAAGAGCATGATAATATTTTAGTATGGCTGAAGAGATACTGTCATTCCAAGTTTCCATATGTTGGGCTTAGGGTAGTCTGTCAATATTATCCTTTAAGACAATTTTTTATTAAAAAAGAAGGTCTCATTTTGTTGGAAAGAAGTTTCCATATTTTATTGGGGTTTTTCCCCCTGAAATTTGTACGATTTTTAGTGACTTGTAAAAATGAATTTCAAAAACGTGAACTAGTGTCCCTACTTAATTTTCAGAACTGCAAAGTACAATTCCATTGAGCCTAGATGACAGAGCCAAAAATAGAAGGCTAGATAAGACCTACTCCAAGGTCACCTGAGCTCTGTCCATTGATGTTACTGAAGATAAGGATGTTACTGCACTTCAAATTTGATCTTATGGTCAACTCAGGACTGACACAGCACATCAGGGAATGGAGCAACAAGCTCTCATTATCTTATGTTTATCAGTTGTGTCAATTCACACTTAAATAGCTGAAAACACTGCATTATTCTGAAAAATAAACTGTTGCAAGTCTAAATAGTCCAAGTAACAAGTATGTTAATATGCAGGACAGCTGTCTCCTACAGCACCAACAGGATGGGAGAATATTTTGGCATCAGTTTTCAACAGGAGACTAAGTGCACTCTTTCCTCTGCATATGCAGACCTCGATTCCCAATGTCCAATCCTCTCAGGAAAACACAGAAAAGAACAGAATGCTACTGAACACTTATTGTGAAGACTGAAACCAGATCTGAAGTTACAGAGAAAGAATAACTCCACACTGTAAATATCCCCTCATACTTCTTGATTCATAATTTGGGCCCTCTTGAATACATTTTATATTTCTACAGATGCATACATGACAGTATGCTTGTCTGGGTTTATCTGATTTTTTTTAATTTATATATATGTACACTTCCATGTATACAAAGAAATCTCAAATGCAAAATACAGTCTCACACAAAGCTGTTCTTCATAACATTATCTTTGTTCATAACCAGAGACAGTGTCATTATACAGCTGACAGAATAAGCACTCCTATCACTTTTGAACTATTAGTTCATTCAACAAGCTGCAATCATCCTGAATGTGTATTTCTAAATCTTTGGTAAACCAAGAGTCTGCTTACCACAACTGACTGCAACCTCTCCCACACACATGACATTCCTTGCTCTGTCCCCTCCAGCCTACCTGATTAAATCAAAGAGTGACTCTTCTACTTCAGTTACAAATGTCAGGCCACCCAGTACAAGAGGCCAGCTAAAGCAAACACATTCTTACAAGCAAGAATCATTAACTGTTATTAATTTTTATCTAGAATTTTGAAGTTGCAATATCAGAACTCATATGCTTGCTTTTTACACCATGTTAAAATGCTAAGATTGGAACTTCAAATATTATCAAGAAGATACAATGCTTTTCAAAACAAAAATTAACATTCAACCAGCAAATCATATCACGTCATAAAGTGACCTTATCAGTTTCATGCTTCATAGGTCAAACCAACAGAAACTGGTTGGCTTTGTTTTGAAGTGATACGTGGACAATTAGAAGTCAAATACTGCCTATTACCAAATGAGAGGTAATGAGGATTTTCACAGTTTAGTATGCACAAATCAGAATGCAAACAAAAAGTGGGTTTTTTTGCTGCCTACTTTAATCACAAACTCATATTCTTTAAAATAACATGGAAAATGTAATTAAAACCTACATAGCAAAGTATAATCACTTTATATTCATATTAAACATTCCAATTAAAAGAAGGTATTACCAAACACTTTGGAAAATTTTTGTTAAACTTTCACTGATGCCTTCACTTTTCAGATCTGTATACTGTTCTAAAAAAACATTCCACTATGACATCCTGAGTATCATTGAAACCATTTCAGAACACAGGCAAGGTGACATCGCGTTGCTTTTTCTGGCTTTCCAGAAATCTATTTAACATTCAACATTAATTTAGAAAGAGATACTTACAGCATGTGCTCCCTGTATTGTCCGTACGAGATTGATTCCTTTCCACACATAAATGTCTCCGTTCAGTGCACCCGAGTACGTCACTTCGTCCCTCGCACAGGCCAGGCACAAGATAGTCTGGAGATCACCGGTCTTGCCAAAGACACCACGTTTTGGTGTCAAGGAATTGCCACACAAGCTCCAGAACTGCAACACAAAGTGATTTAGAAATGGCTGTTTTGCTAAAATCTTATAATTTAATACGCACATCTGAAAGAGAAGTTCCTTGCCTGCAAAAGACATCACCATTCATTCTCTTTTCCATGCCTTAGTTCCCCAGTTTAACAGTAGTTTATGTTATTGACCAACTTTATCTTTCCATAAAATCATCATAACAGAGTGACTGGGAAGGCATTTTGGGATATCACTATTAAATTAAACTAAAATTCTTTCAAATAATAATTTGTGAGTCAGTTGTATTTTCACTTATTTTTGAAAAGTATTTCATAATAGAATTATATTATCTTTCTTTGATGTAAGACTTTTATGCTGAAAATGGTGCATTTGTACTTTATGTTACTTTATACATTTAAAGATGCCACCTAAGCATGCAGATTTCTGATAAGACTCTACTGGCTCTGTTTGAAGGCATCTGGTTTTATTGCAGATGTGTTTCTCATCAGAACCATGGATCACACGGAGTAGCCATCTGAGGCAGAGATTTTTAAGAACTTTCTAATAAACCAGTTGTGTGTAATTACAGCAATCACACAAATGTGAATTCCCTCCTAGGTCACCCAACATGTACCAATGGATCCTGAAGTAAAGACATGCAAAGTCTCTTGTCAGAGCACACCACTGGCCAACTAAGTCTCCAGATAAACACTGTAGTTTCTGAGATCTCTGCAAACAAGAAGCACTTGCATATTCCTTTCAAACCCTCCTGTCCAAACATGTAAATGTGCACTGGAAAGTGAAGCTGCTGAAGTAATCCAACGTAAAACATGAAAGCATCACTGCTGACAGGTTACTCTTACATCCTCTCAGCATACAGAGTCTCCTGCATATGTGTTTAGGGAACTAAACACATACGTATGCATTTCATAGCAAGGTTCTCTGTTACCAATAATCAATTCAAAATTCTGAGCAGACTTCAATTAAAATGGGTTAATATAAGAAGTTACCTTGAATAGATTTTTGTACCTCCAATACTGTAATTCAGAAACAAGTAGAAATTACCATTACTGATTAGAGTAACTAGTACTGATTAGACAAATTGCAGTATCTTAACTAGTTGAGCTGGTTTGGGCTGGGAGAGTTAATTTTCTTCACAATGGCTGGTATGGGGCTGTGTCTTAGAGAAGTAGAAAAAAAAGATCATTATTAAACAAGTTCATGGAATTCTGTAACTGACATGCTAAACATTTGCATGCCAAATCAGACTTATGTAATCCAGTGAACAGATTTAAGACTTTTTCCTGTAGGCCATTAATACATATTACTCTACAAGTTCATTGTATAAAAAGCAACACATTTTCCCCACTATGGGAACCTCCACACAACAGCAATACAGAACTTTCAAGCTGCCATCTGCTGCTGTGATGTGGTAACACAGAAAAGTGTGCATGGGAGAAGACAGCGACTTTTGACTGACGTGAAAAACACTGTTCCTAATCTTTGATAATCCTGCTGACAAAGTTAAATCTGAAAAAAAGCTCTTTCTGCACAGAATTTGCTACATGGATGAAACACAGCATACTTGAAAAATACATGAATTGTCAGAGATACAGGATTCATAATTTGGACAGAGTGCTCCAAATGACAAAGGTATTAATACAAGGAGGGAAAATAATAAAAAGAAAGGAAAATGCTGCTTCTCTTCCTTTCTCTTTCACTGTCTCCCCATACCCTCTCTAAATGGTAAGAAATGGTTATTCAATTCATTTCACCTCTGTAGTGCAGCAATTTATTCACTGTTCAAGATTCAAGAACTTGAGTACCTGGAGTCACCTTAAACATGTACACCATGTCTTACACGACTTTGGATTTCAAACAGTGTTTTAGAGAACATAGATTTTAAATTACAGTCATTACATACAATGCTACTGACAACTGTTCCATTCCTACTACATTACTTCTGCCAGGGCATGAAGTCTTTGAGCACAGAGAGTCTGTTTTTCACTATACAGATCTTATATTGTATCTAGTGTAGTCAGGTGTGATTCATGATTGCAGTTCTAAGAACTAATATTGTTCTTAAGACATTCCATATTATCATTCTATATTCCTTTTAGATTCTATTTTTATGCATTTTATAGAGCATATATCACTGCAGCTTAAATATTTTATAAATGAAAAGTTATTTCATTACCTTGATGTGTTTTACACCACAGCTGACAAGCTTGTTTGGCTGGTATAAATCCCAAGAAATATCAAATATCTGCACAAAAAACCCAAAGGATGTCAACAGAGATGGCCTTTCTAGCACAGGACAGTTAAAACAGTAAAAACTTATAGCAAATTAACAGGGAGTCTGAAATGCTTTAAATTGATCTATTGGAAAGACTTTTTTTGTCTTCCCATTCCATACTGAAATTTCAATATATACCCAATATAGTTCCGGCTTTTTTTCCCCTAGAGTAATTAAAACACATAATAAAATAACATTAAGATTCATTTGCAGACTAAAAAATGTAAGCAATTATTTGCATTTGCATTTCCCATATGGGGATTAGGTCTAAGAAGTGCATTAATTATGCACTTCTCCTACATGTTTTCTGTCTCAACAAACCATACAGAAATAAATACTGAGTTACACATTTTATTCTAGAAATAAATGCACACGTTTTAAATATCTTCACATCTTTATGCATATAAACCTTTAGGCAAATTCAGTTTCTAAAACAAAATGGGTTTTGTTCAGACATCTATATATACAGACATGGTTTAACAAACTAAAATGACACTGATGCTCAGACTATTTAGTTGTACTTACTCTGTCTGTATGACCAGGAGCCATTGATAGCAATTTTCCTTTTCTCCAGTCCCACACACAAACTGTGTTTTTCGAATCCAAACCAACCGAGACCAAACGCTAGAAGTGTCCAAATTCAAATAAAAATAACTCAATATATTAATGAAATCTAAAGTCATTATTTTGAATGAGTTGCAAAAAAATGTGTAATACATTTGAGTTAGAACCAATAGCTTCATTTTGATATAGAAGAAAACATAAGCTGTATCTTACACCACAGCACAGATGAGTCTTTTCAGGTACAACATTATGACCATAAGGTCTTCTTAGATAACAATGTATTTCTGATCAATAAAGTTTAATATATATATATAATTATATATAGCACACAGGGCAAGCTGTGGTCAGGAGACTTTTGCAAAAAAGGAATAATCACTGAACTTAATGAAACTTTATGTATTTACCTTTAATTACATATAATTTGCAGCATGTAGGATTTATTTCATAAGAGACACAAAAAATATTTTCTTCAATCTTCTTGAAAACACACAAAAAATCAAAAACAATTAAATGCTTTAAAAGTCTTTTGCTTGATTCTTCAAGACACACATGAGTAAATACTTCTTTCCAAATCCTCTCTCAAACCAGGACTAAAAAGGCCCCAAATATAATTTCATGCAGTCGTTACAATTCAGAAAGAGCTTGAAGCCATTTACACTGTAAAACTAGGACAGAAAAAAAAATATTCCAAAAAAATCAAGAAAAATAAAATTTTGAGATCTTCCTGTGCTTTCTGCCTGTCTTGTCTTGACTTGCACAGATCTCTTGACACAAATGATTGAGTAAATTAGCCACTTGTATGGTATCTCTTAACCAGTCAAAATGCTACTTTTCCTATAGAAATTCTCAACAGAAAGACTAACAGGATTGAATTATTTAAAAAAAAAAAAAAAGCTGAGTGATTTGTTTAATTTTTAAAGAAAATGAGTATTTTTGTTCCATTTTTGCATGAATTGTGCCATCTTGACATTGATAAATTAAATTTTTTCAAAACTTTTGGGCAAAGCTTTTTTCACTGTTCAGCAGTTAATACTTACACACATTAAAGACAAATTTAGCTTCAGTTTCTACATAGATTATCTAAGTGAGTTTATAAAAGCAAAAACAGACTCCAACCTTGAATTATAATCCTTATTCCCAAAGACAAAAACCTATTCCAAATAACATAATTCCTTCACTGTCTGAAAAACTCCAAAATTATGAGAAGAAAAAAAAACAAGTTAAATACAATTTCTATCCATGCTTCCTATTTATTAATACTACAAAATCTAACCTTTCTATTCCATCTTTGAAAAGTCAGGGTGTTTCAATCCTAATGTGATGTATTTTGACTTTAAATTATGAAGACCATTTAAGTGAGGGAGTGACACAAGTTTACACAACAAGAACAATGCAGAGAAAAGATATTGCTGGGAAGTAGAAATGATGCTCTAGAAAGAAGCTGTCTAGAAGCTGACTGCCTAAACAGTGAGAGGTCATTTCAACAGACTCAGAACTTTCCTACAACAATTACAACATGTTGAACAGAAACAAGTTACAGGTAGGCTTTCCTCTTGTGTTCAGCTTCATTTCATATTTTCTTAAGGACAGCAAGTGGTCTCTACAATACACCCTCACTTGAGTAACAGCAGTAACTAACAGACATTGACCTTTTCAGCAAGCAAAAGGAGCTGGGGATACAGCTAAATCTGGGTATCACATTGCAAGGCTGAGTGGGAAAGAAAGAAGTGTTTCATAGACCAGGAAAGCACTTCTCCAGAAAGGATTTTCTCAGCTAATACCTTTTCAGCTGCTACCTAACGTAAATATAATCATTAAATTTTCCATTTCCAATACATCAGTCAAGCAAGCCTCTTTACTCAGAGGAGCAAGAGTCTGGTAAAAACAATCTCCATTATAGGTAGAAGCTCTGAGAACTAATTTACTACTCAGAAAATGTTCGAAAGCAACAAAATTATAATCCAATGAAACCTTTTTCTTAACTCTTAGATACAGGACACGAGTCTGAATAAACAATCAAAACGTGGAGAGCCAGCAGTGAATGCAGAATGCGTGACAGAGAAGGGGATACTGCCTGAAGGAGTCCAAGGTGAGCAACACAACAGGGCCACCATCACTCTGGGCACAAGACACGTCCCTGCACAGGGGAGGTCCACTGCCCCCAGTTATTTGGTCTAACTCTGAACTATGGCCCACAGACCACAAGAACCTCCCTATCACCTCATCTCCATTCAAAAAGCTTTTGAAGTTATAATTTTCTTGCCAAATGTAAATATTTGTCATTCATTAGTATATGCAACTTGATCTTCCTCAACTTGAGAATTAGCAGATAGAACCTGAGATAATACACTGCCTTTTTTTAAGAAAAACTATGTGACAAGATTTCTAATAGATAAACAATTTATTTAAGTGTTTGAAAAAAGAACATTAATTACATACCTGACCATCTAAATCAAAGGCCAAGCAAGCTATGCCATGTGTGTGAACGTCTTTCAGGACAGATACAGTTTGCACAGTGTATGAATCCCACACACAGATGTATGGTTCCTTCCCAACTTGACCTGTTGCCACCAACACACGTTCGGGGTGCAAAGCAAGGCTGCCAAAAAAAAAGATATAAAATACATCTACATGAAACTTTGTTATTTGCCTAGTTAGCTGCATTATTTTTTTTCCTTAAAAATTTTTTACAATATTTTCCTATGGATACTAGGTAACAAAAAGTCATTTTGTATCACAGATTCCACAGTAGCTGCAAAATTCTAAATATAGTACATACCAACATCTTTTTTGAATTTAGCTTTCAAAAGCCTTCTACATTTAAATTAGTTGCAAAATAGTCAATAACCCTCTGTTCCAAAAGCGTTTACTAAATTTGGTCAGATTTTCATGCACTGAGAGAAATACCTCATTTCCTTTCTTTATATTTCTTAAAACTCAAAACCACAAACAATGGAAAACAGAAGTTGGTGTTTAACTATCTACACATCAGTCATCAAGATGCACATCTCCAGAAGTTCTTTATTCCACACAGTATTTTATGAGGGGACAGCTTTCTGGAGCTGTCTGTCTGTTGATTGTACAGCAGCAACCCAAAGCACGCCTAGCTTAGACTAGAGGCAAGGACTACACTTCAGATGACTGAATTTATGAGCAATTAAGATTATCTTAAATGCCCTTCATTTTAATATAGAACAATTGGGAATAGCTGGGTTTGAATAATTTTTAACTCTCACATTTCTAATATTGTAGAGATTTTTATTATAGCTTTTATTTCAGTCTTTCAAAGTGCACTAGACATTCATCAGAACTGTTTTGCTACATCTGGGACCAAGCTAGAAAACATTCTAGTCAGCAAGCTATTTCTTTGTTTTGTTTATGCCAGCAAGCTGTATGGGAGAACACGAGGTCTGAGGGCTCAGATTTCATAACAGAGAAAAGTAAGAATATATTCTAACAGAAACCCAAACAAACTACTTGATCACATTCCACACATAGTAGGTACAGCAGTCCAGAATGATGTAGAAATACCACACAGAAGTCAGGAAGACACAATTTCTAAAGCTGGTTGTTTATTTTGGCTAAAAAATTTCCTAGCCTGGTGAGTGCCAGGCTAATGAATGATCTTGAGAGACTGGTGGACAGAATCACTAACAACACACAGTAAGTATATTTATCTTCTCAAAATTGTTTGGGAAGGAGAAAGGTTGAGCACTTTGCAAAGGTAAGATGATCTTTAACTTGAACACAGGTTTTGATAAATAAAGTTCAAAGGGTGGAGACAAGGGAAGTATAAACAAGAGAAATATAAACAAAAACAGCAAGGTTAAGGCTAGCCAGGAAATTACCAGAAAAATCTTCTGATTCAAAAGATGCATACATTTTCTATATACAGAAAGAGCAAGAGGAAACCACATTAGAAGACGCTTAATATTTTATGAAGTTAAACTACAGTACACAATACACTTCCGTATTTTTTCTGTTTTAAAATAGCAGCTCAGTTTGTTGATATTGCTTGATGAATTCCACATGCAAAACTGAACAGAACTCCTAACTTCAAAGTTGAAAAGGTAAAAAGCCTTGAACCTTTCCCTTTTGCTATGGGAATTTCTGCTCTTGGCTTCTCCCTGTTACCCTCAGCAACAGGACCAAGTAACCAATATTTCCCCATTTTGCTTCACAACACTTCCAGAGTTGTTTATTTAGTTCTTCCCTTCTTGTTTATTTGATAGAGCAACTTCTCAATTAAAAAACATTGCAGAAAGGAGCTGGCAGCAAAACTTAACCACATTTCAATTTAGTTCTGCCACCTAATCCTGACTAACACCTGCATATCTCCCAGAGCACACAAAGGCAGATGGTGTACTCACAGGACAAAGGAAAAGCATCTGGAGGGAGACAAAATGCTGCATCCAAAATGATCTATGTTTTCAGAATGGCACCACAGAAAGGGAGCAATTAGACCACATGGACAATAAAGAAATGTGAAAAAGGAAGTGAAAAGAATAAGCAAGAAAAAAGAGACAGAAACTAAGAGGAAAATAGGAAAAACACTGCAGTCTCATGCCTGATTCCCCACCTATTCAACCCTGTCCTGATGTGTGCTACAAGCGCATAGTGCATTTTTAGACAAGCCAAAACCACACCACAAGTACAAAAAACCACTCACTGTATGTGTACGGACACACATACATGCAAAAGAACACCCACACCACACCTTAAAAATCAATTTATACCAACCATACTTGAGAACCTTTATTGTTAGAACAGTCCTGAGCTGTTCACTTTAAATAGCCTCCTGGTGCAGACAGAAAGAGCTTAACTGGAATGAGTGCCCAGAAATAAATAACAATAAACACTTCCCATGGACTATAGGAGTTTGTGGATGTGATGCAGTTAACAGGATCAAACAATGACTTTGAGCTCTCTCTGGGTACTCTGGGTATGACCTTCAACACACCTCTACTGAGGTGTCAAAATCATACAACTATTGGGATGGTATCTGCAATAGCTGCTTGCCATTCATCCATTCAGTTCCTGAGATCAGGCAGAAAAGTATGGGTATGGTTCAGCTCTAAAGGCAGCTTTAAAATCTCTTGGTGTGGGACTTGTGGGCTTAGGTACAGTCCCTCACAAATATTCTCTTGCATTTTTTTTCTTAGGGAGAAGGAAGAGATTGCTTAGTGGCATAAGAAGCTCAGCACTCAAGTAAAGGACACATATTCCCTTTACAGCACTCAGAAGGAGAGAATTCCCTTTCCTGTCCTGGTAATGAGAGCTGGTATGACCTATCCAGGTTAGCCTGCTGGAACTGTGCTTGCATCTAGCCCACACTGCTAGACTGTAAAAGGGTGCTTGATTTCTTGTCCTTGAAGGATGACTAAGCTGATGAATGAGATACTGTCCTTGTCCAGAAAAGGAAACAGATATTCCTAATGAGCAGTTCCTCAGTGCCTCTTCTTGTTTGCCTCTGGCCTTTCTGACCTGGGCTCTCCCACAACAGATGTTAGATCTAATGCAGTAACATGTAACATATGTGAGAACATGTCCAAAAGTCAAACTTTATAATGAAAAAAGCAGGTATTGAGCTAACAAACTGCTAAGTCAAATTAATTTTTAAATTGACTCTAGAACTTGGCACTTCTCAGAGGAGTTCAGAAATAGAAAATTTCAAAAAAAATTGTCTGTCACTATTGCAACAAACCAAATAGCTGGACTTGTAGTGAGCTGAGGTTTCCACCACTATATCTGAATGACAGGTCTTTCTCTAGCCAGACACTCCAATTGGGCTGAAATGCAGTAGTAGAGTTTTAGCAGCATACTGAAAAATGATGTGTTTCTCACTGTAGTACATTCAAGCTCCTCTTTTTAACACATTCAGGAAAGGTTCTTTCTCCCTTTCAGAGCAATATGTAATCATTCCCCAACATTTTGACCGGATCCATGCACTGTACAAGACCAATGTTATTATATTAAATACTAATGGCAGCCAATTAAAAAAAAAAAATCTGTCTATGTTGTGTCTGCATGGAATGAGACTAGAGACATGGACAAGATCCTCCAATTTGTGTGAGGTTTGAAGTGGCAGGGGATCCTATAGGAGAATAGTCAATAATAAACTACTTGATATTTAAAGAAATTAAGATTCTTTTTCATCTTTACTTGGTTTGTGCTGAGGATTACCAGGCATTGATTAATACAGACAGGCTGCAGACAAGGATACAGTATTAAAGATGATGTTTCCTTAGCAACAATATTGGATGAAAATCCAAGAATACATTCATGTGACTACTCCTGAGCTTCATAAAACTAGGGCACCAGTAAAAATGCACAAAAGAATACTGCAGTAAAATAACAGCATCTCGACATCTATTAATTAAGAGTTAATTTCAAGTGTGAAATTGTTTCTATGCTTAAATAAAGCAAAATATTTTCATGGTATGTTTACAGACATTTTTCATACACTCGAGAATATTTTCTTATTTGCTGTAAATTATCCATATTTTCCAGAAAGAATAACAGGGGAAGCTACAAACCATTTCTGTCACACTATTTAAGATCTTAAAGCAGAAAGAGCTGCAATTAGCAAACACCTCTCATCAAAGTTTAAACAGATCAAGTCAGAGCACACGTATTTTCCACAGAAAAAAACAAAGCAGGATTCATCATGGAGCACCACTACCAGCCTTCCATGCAGTTACTGCCCCAGAGCCAATAATGTCAAATATAGTTTTCTGAAGTTTCCTTAAATTGCACAAGCATCCAGCTTCAAAGTAAGAGAGGCTGAAGTGGAGACAGGGACAGTGAACTCAAATTGTAGGTTGGTCATTCCCAGGTGCAGTTTATCTCATTACCATCCATACTTTCTCCTATTGGATCTGAATGTTTTTAGATTAACAAGAAACATTTATAAACAACCCAGAGACTGCTAAAGATTGCTTTGGGCTTCTATTTGTCCTGAACTCCAAAGAGGGACAAAAATAAAAAAACAAATGTACTTCAAATAGAAGGAAAGAGTCAGAAAGTGACTAAAGCAACACTGATGCAAAGTTCCCACATCATCAAATATGAGAACTGAGTAAAATATTCTGGGAATTACATGGCCCTAAATGAAGATGTCCATTTTTGTCTTGCATTGTCATATCCTCCACTGCTGAGGAAGGGATTGGCTTCAGCTTTCTGGTAAGTCATCATCTCTAGAAAACTGATTAAAAATAAATATACTCCCCTTCTTTTCAAATATGAATGATTTTGCCAATGCCAACAGGAGAACTCATGCTTTGACTGAGTGGGGTTGCTGGATTTTTACAAATTCTACATGATTGTGACAATTTAATCACCAGGTTTTCACAATCTGAGGAACAAAATTCTTTTCTAATATGCTCCTTGAAAAAGAAAACAGCAAAATTACTTACATGTTCCTAGCTAAAAAAAATCTCCTCACATGAAAGTTAGAAATATCATATACTCCAGATTCATTTGGAGATAAATTTGCTAAGATAATGTCCTGTTATTCTTTAACAGCTATTAATATTAAAGAACTGGTGGTCCAGTAATGGGACATACTAGACCTTGATGGTAAGTAAGAATCCCACCTAA